GACCTGGGACACCTCCCTCGTTGTGCATGCAATTCATTATCAGGTAGAACAGAAACCAGCAGGCTCCGGACCTCGTAGGGTAAGAGTTGAGTACCCCTGGTAGTGTCTGCAGGTTTTTCCTTTCAATTAAGCAATAGACAACCAGAGAGTGGGGAGTTCCTGACTAATTAGTGACCTTGCTTCATCAATCAAGTACAATGGAGGAGCGAAAACCCGCAGCCACTCGGCCCTCCGTGGAATGAGTTTGACACCTGTGATCTAATCGGTCAATCGTATGGTGACTGTCTTTGGCAGTTGTCAGTGTCATTCCACTGTAGTTTCGACTGTAGTTTCCCGGGGTTTACCAATTCAGCGGGATCTCCCCACAGTTGATAGGCCAATTGGGGATAAACTCATATCCTGTAGCAGTAACTGGATGGAGCATTGACTGGATGACTCTGTCTGACCATCTGACCTCTGTCATGTCATTGAAGCAAGTAACCTTCTGGGCGGTGGGTAGCCTGGTGGTTAGAGAGGCAAGCCAGCAACTGGAGGGTTGCCAGTTCAAATCCCGGGTCTGACGGGGGAAAATCTGATGGGCAAGGCATTGTGCCCTTGAGCAAGGCACTTAACCCCACACAACTCCTCCTCCATGGGTGCCCAATGTTGCAGCCCCCCTCCTCCAACCTGTATATGTATGTGTCTTTTGGAGGGGTTGAAATAAAGCAGAGGTCAAATTTCAGTTGGACCTTGTGTACAATTGACAAAATGATCTTAATCTTAAATAACCTTCTGATCTGGGCCTCTGTGTCATTGCACATCTCACTCCATCAAACACCACACCTCCTCGCAATACACACACAAACACACTTCTCACCCAACCCTGTCGGTGCCTGCCCCCAGTCGATTCTTTAGTTACCAGGGTCAATTTGGGACTTTCCTCAGATGTATCGAAGTGTGGAACCGCCAACGGAAAATCAAGCTTTGTGTCTAAAGTCCCTAAAACACCCTGCTGAATCTGTGCTGACACGTTGTGCAGCTGCTGGATACAGTAGATAGTCAAGGTGCCTGTGTGTGGGACGTGGTGGGATGCTCATTACCATGAACTGTGGGAGGCAGGTAGCCTAGCGGTTAGAGAGGCGAACCAGCAACCAGAGGGTTGCCAGTTGGAATCCCGGGTCCGATGGGAAAAATCTGATGGGAAGTGAGCTGAAACCAGAGGGTTGCTGGTATCAAATCCTAGATTCCATTATCTGCCGTTGTGCACTTGAGCAAGGCACAACAACAGCTCCCCGGGCGCCCAGTGTGGCAACCCCTAGTACCTCTCCAAAAAAACCTGTGTGTGTATGTGTGTCTTTCGGATGGGTTGGGTTAAAAGCGGAAGTCAAATTTCAGGTTGGACCTTGTGTGCAATTGACCAATAAAGTGATCCTAATCTTAATCTGTTAGAGCTGCCCTGGCCAACCGTACACTCATACAGCACCCACCTCTTCATGACTGTATGAGTGACTTCGGCCCTTATTTGATGTCTTTACACTAAGCTTGGCAGAATGCAGAAAAGTGCAGCATTGCGTTAAGAACAGGGCCTTTTGTGGTGGTGTAGGGGTGAATGGACAGACAAGATGGAACACCCTGAGACAGTGAAAGGAGGTAGGACTGCATGATATAGGCCAAACATCCAATAGCGATTATTATTTTAAACAAAATATTGCGATTTAACTTGCGATATAGATCAAAACACTTGGATGAACTGTTGGAAGCATTTTAAATAGAATTGCCTAGTTAAATAAATAAATAAAATAATGATTTATATTAAGAAGCATGTAAACTTCTAGTGAATCTAACAGCGAGGAGCAGCCACAAGGAGAGGTAGAGAGACGACAAACACGCGGCTTATTGGTGTTTCAAAATATTGCATGCGATATGGATCTCTTGCAATATGGATATTGCACATGTCAACACTGCGATTTCGATGTGAATTTGATTAATTGTGCAGCCCTAAAAGAGGACCACGGCCACTTAGTGTCATTAGATATACACTCAGTGGCCAGTTTATTAAGTACACCCATCTAGTACCGGGTCGGACCCCTCTGTAGTGGTGGTCAGCAACAATGTTCAGAAACGCTGTGTCGTTCAAACGTTGCTCAATTGGTATCAAGGGAACTAACGTGTGCCAGGAAAACATTCCCCACACCATTACACCACCACCACCAGCCTGTACCATTGACACCAGGCAGGATGGGGCTATGGACTCATGCTGCTTACACCAAATCCTGACTCTGCCATCAGCATGATGCAACAGGAACCAGGATTCGTCGGACTCGGACCAGGCAATGTTTTTCCACTCCTCAATTGTCCAGTGTTGGTGATCACGTGCCCACTGGAGCCGCTTCTTCTTGTTTTTAGCTGATAGGAGTGGAACCCGGTGTGGTCGTCTGCTGCAATAGTCCATCCGTGACAAGGACCGACGGGTTGTGCGTTCCGAGAAGCCGTTCTGCACACCACTGTTGTACTGCGCTGTTATTTGCCTGTGTGTGGCCTGCCTGTTAGCTTGCACGATTCTTGCCATTCTCCTTTGACCTCTCTCATCAACAAGCTGTTTTTGCCCACAAGACTGCCGCTGACTGTCGTGCATGAAAATCCCAGGAGGCCGGCTGTTTCTGAGATACTGGAAATAGCACGCCTGGTACCGACAATCATACCATGCTCAAAGTCTCTTAGGTCACTTGTTTTGCCCATTCTAACGTTCAATCGAACAGTAACTGAATGCCTCAATGCCTGTCTGCCTGCTTTATATAGCAAGCCACGGCCACGTGACTCACCAGGAGCCAATAATTTTTGTGAACGAGGTGGTGTACCTAATAGACTGGCCACTGAATGCAAATTGACAACAAACTGAATGTCACAGGCACTGGAGAATGATGCAGTGGAGACCTCAAATCTCCTGAAACATTGCAACATACACTTGGAAATCTCTTTGGTGCAGTGAACAGCCTCACGCTCAGACTGTGAACTTGTTGCCAGTGGCTCCATCATGTGGATGTTGTAAGTATAGCCTGGTTATAAAGACTTCTACCAGGCTAATGCAGTTCCAGTCTCTGCCACTTGGAAGCAGTAGAGACCTAATCATACAGGAAAGGTGCATAGAAGAGGTTTTCTCCATTTGGCAAACTGTTGACTTGGCTTCATCATTATCAAGCATTTTATCTTAACACATCCCATCTCCTTCCAATGTGCTACTGCTTAATGATGTCTCTACACTAAACCTAACACCCAGGCCTAAAAGCAGCCAAGATAATTATTGCCTTACGATGGCAAGCCTCACACACTCTACAATGGATTTCCTTATTCATGAACTTATTTATGAGCTCAACTTGAACTGTCATTGTTTCGACATTGTGCAAAATCAGACAATATTAAAATATGGACTACAACACTTGACAGTGTGTATTTGTGTAATGTCTGTTGGGTTGTGTTTTTTGTCCTGTCAACCAAAATATAATAAAAACTTGATTAAAAAAAGAATAAAAAAGATGCATACATGAGTCTGTGGCGGTTTTTAGACACCTCCAACTTTATCCCATTGGGATGGCATTTACCATTCTCTCTAGATAGTTTCCCTTTACAAATGTAACAACAGAGAAGAATATGGTGGTAACAGTTAAATGCCAATTTGTCATTGAATGCCTTTGTATTTTCTGCTTGGTCCCACGGTCTCACAAAGGGAAGACAGCAGTTGGGGGCTGCTTTAAACATTAAACATCGCTGGGCCTTGACCTGCAGTGCAGTGACTTCACATACATCCTGTAGCACAGTGCTGTTTATCTATCTGACATCTAATCACTATAAGTTTCCACAACTCACTCTCTCTCTCTCTCTCTCTCTCTCTCTCTCTCTCTCTCTCTCTCTCTCTCTCTCTCTCTCTCTCTCTCTTTCTATACTCTCTTTTTCTCTTCTGTCTACTCTCTCGCTTTCTTTCTACTCTCTACACTACACACTCTCATTGTGGGCATCCCCTGTTTCCTCTTCCCCCCTCCTTTCTAAGTAATCGGTTACCTCTAAACCCACAGCTATCTCAGCCTCACTCCACACACAAAGACTACAAACCTGTTTGTCTGGCTGCAACCCCGGAAGCGCATCAAAGAAAGAGAGAGAGAGCATGAAAAAGTGACACAAAAGAAAAAAAGAGAGAGAGAGAGAGGGGCCAGCCAGAGTCAAAAAAGTTTCCGTTGTGCTGCAATTGTCCTCTCTGAGTTGTATAGGGAGCCTGGGGTCTGTATCTGAGACACCATTTGTATGTTATAGATGAATTCAGAGAGAGTTACGCCACACGGGGGAGAGATAGTGCCTGGGAATGAGAGCGTAAAATGTTGAGTAAGAAGGGGTGGAGAGAATAGGGGAGGAGAGGGGTTGAGATTGTTAAGGAAGGGCAAGTGGTTATTTGTTCTGCCCTCCCCTGCACTCTCTCTCTTTCAGTGTTTTCTCTTTACACTTTATTTTTACAGAAAGAGACTGTTTCCCAAAAGAAATTCAGACTTTTGGAGAACTGACCAAAGAAATTGAGGATTTATGATTTGAGGACTTTATGAATGCAGGCTTGAAAAACAACAACTTTTGAGAGATTGTTTGTAAACAGTTTTGAGATATTGTTTGTTTGCGCTTTTCTGGACAAGACGTTTCACCTCCACTCTTTCTAAACCACAGCAGTTGTCTCGTTCCTGTTGGACTATGGTATATTCTGGCGCTCTGCCCCTATCTGGATTACCTGATTTCATTGGATTATATTTGGATTACTGAGGAACACTGGTGAAGGTATATTGGATGAAGTGTGCTCTTTTCAACTAAAGCTGTCAACCATAAAGATACAATGATAACATTTACTAAGCCGTCCATGACAGACATCTAGACCACTCCCTCATTCAACTGTCACAGACAGGGCTGCCAGACACAAACCGTCAGGCTGCACTGAACAGATCCCACTCGGACTAACACACCACAACCAGGAATCCCTCCTCAGGACAATGGCCATGGGAGGGAACGGGCTAGGATCTGACCAGAGCCTGAAATCCACCTCCCAGCCACCCAGTGCCTCTGACCGGCGGCAAGTGGACAAGGCCCTGAAGAGGCTGGAGAAGCTGCACCGGCTATGTACCAACCCCAGGCTGGGCCTGAGGAACAGCCCCCCGTACCTCCCCGAGGTGGTCTCAAAGACAGCCACACTGCTCACCCAGGTGTGGGAGCCGTACAGGGGGCCTGGGGCAGGGGGGCAGGCCCCCCGGGGGGACGAGGGGGAGTACCTGATGATCCATGCCAGACACCTGCTGGATAAGACGGACCGGGCCGTGCTGCTGTTTAAAGAGGGGCGCGATAAGATGTTCGAGGAGATGTCCAGCTACAGGTGAGAGAGAACAACAAGGGCCGGAACATAACTTGATATATGGGGTCGTAAACTATTTCTTTGTAAAAACAAAAACGGCTATGTGAAAACTCAGAAAGTTACCTGCATGTATCTCCAGTTAGGATTTGGCACTTAATCCAATTATCATAAACATTGTCAGTGTTGGGGAAGCTACTCTAAAATATAGTTTACCAAGCTACCAATTACTTGGTAAACTATATTTACCAAGTTACTCTACATTAAAGCTACCCTTTATATAGTTTACTTAACCAAAGTTTATTTGAAAAAGTACAGAGTGTACAAAACACTAGGAACACCCTCCTAATATTGAGTTGCACCCCTTTTTGCCCTCAGAACAGCCTCAATTCTTCGGGGCATGGACTCTACAGGGTATCGAAAGCGTTCCACAGGGATGCTGGCCCATATTGTCTCCAATGCTTCCCACAGTTGTGTCAAGTTGGCTGGATGTCCTTTGGGTGGTGGACCATTTTTGATACACTCAAACCGGTGCACCTGGCACCTACTACCATACCCTCTGAATGGCACACATACAGAATCGAAGTGGATTGAAGTGGATTTAACAGGTGACATCAAAAAGGGATCATAGCTTTCACCTGGATTCACCTGGTCAGTCCATGTCATGGAAATAGCTAAATGTTTTGTACACTCAGTGTAGTTCACTACATCCAAAATGTCATAGACTACAAATTGCAAGAACAGATCACTTTGGGGTCATATGTTAACAGAATGTGTAATTAAGCCTATTAAACACAAAACTATGTTTCAGGTGAGAATACGGCAGGTCTGATGCCGAAAAAGAAAGGAAATGATTGTCTTCTTCACCCATATTTTATTTTTCCAAATAAAAAGTAGTGTCTAGTCCCAATAGTTAGCTACATCACAACATTACAAAAAAAGTTATTCACTACTAAAACACCACCAATATTTGAATTTAGTTCAACTACCACCAAGCTACTGCTAAATGTAGTTGAATTACTAGTTGAACTACATGTAGTTCATTACTCCCCAACAATGCACATTGTTTACATGGTTTTTGCTCTCCTCATTCACTTTTAATCTAGCATGAATAAACATTAATGCTTTTTTATATCCACAGAGGTGAAACAATTACTACTGAAAAAACATTATGCATCTGTAGGCTACAAGACTATTATACCGTACCAGAAATTGAACCCTGAGGATATCATTGGTTTAGAGTACATTTTAGAATGTTGACCTTTTCACCCGAAATAATTCCATTCTGGGCTGACCTTTACTAAGACAAATAAAGCAGCTGTGGGGTCAAGGGCAGGGGACATGTCCCAGATATCTGACTCCACCAGCACCATGACACAGACTTCCCGCCAATATTCTCTATGGCCAATATTCAAATAAATTCTCAAGTAACTAAGGCCAACTAGGAAAATTAAAATGCATGGTATTAGATTGGCATATTCATAAGGACTTGGTTGGCATTAGACTTGATACGTACAGTAAGTGAATTTTGGAGCACAGCCAAAGACAGAGCAGAACCACAATAGATACAAATAGACCTGAGCATCCATTAACATCCATTTATAGTACCAGCGAGACAAAAATGAACATTCCCAGTTCCCACAAGTCGGCTGTCTTAAAACATAAACACAAAATCAATATGGCATTTTGGGGTCGGGCTATAACAGCTACATTTAGTTATTTAGTAGTTGTGCAGTAGTTGTGCAGTTAAGTTAAGGTGGGTATTTTGGGAAGAAATGTATCTGAGTGACTCAATGTTTGGAACCAAACCTCTGTTCCGTTGAGACTACTAATGTCTCAGAGGGACAATGGAGTGGACCTGAGGCTTTATCATGCTAATGGTAACTGGATGAAACTGGGTGATCGCAACAACTCTCTGGGATATATGGACCATGGAGAAAGGAAGTATGGGTCGCTGAGACATTTCAGGGTGGTGAAACACGGTTCTTTTTTTTGTTTTAAAGACAATCATGAACAACATGATGTAAATATTGTTTCTTCTTTAAAAATTTGGAAAATTTGGACATGTCCTATAATAACATTGTTTCTTACATTTGTTACTTACTCAAAGTACAAAATTAAACACATATTTCACAATTATATACAGTGAGGGAAAAAAGTATTTGATCCTCTGCTGATTTTGTACGTTTTCCCACTGACAAAGACATGATCAGTCTATAATTTTAATGGCAGGTTTATTTGAACAGTGAGAGACAGAATAACAACAACAAAATCCAGAAAAACCCATGTCAAAATTTTTATTAATTGATTTGCATTTTAATGAGGGAAATAAGTATTTGACCCCTCTGCAAAACATGACTTAGTACTTGGTGGCAAAACCCTTGTTGGCAATCACAGAGGTCAGACGTTTCTTGTAGTTGGCCACCAGGTTTGCACACATCTCAGGAGGGATTTTGTCCCACTCCTCTTTGCAGATCTTCTCCAAGTCATTAAGTTTTCGAGGCTGACGTTTGGCAACTCGAACCTTCAGCTCCCTCCACAGATTTTCTATGGGATTAAGGTCTGGAGACTGGCTAGGCCACTCCAGGACCTTAATGTGCTTCTTCTTGAGCCACTCCTTTGTTGCGTTGGCCGTGTGTTTTGGGTCATTGTCATGCTGGAATACCCATCCATGACACATTTTCAATGCCCTGGCTGAGGGAAGGAGGTTCTCAACCAAGATTTGACAGTACATGGTGCCGTCCATCGTCCCTTTGATGCGGTAAAGTTGTCCTGTCCCCTTAGCAGAAAAACACCCCCAAAGCATAATATTTCCACCTCCATGTTTGATGGTGAGGATGGTGTTCTTGGGGTCATAGGCAGCAATCCTCCTCCTCCAAACACGGCGAGTTGAGTTGATGCCAAAGAGCTCGATTTTGGTCTCATCTGACCACAACACTTTCACCCAGTTCTCCTCTGAATCATTCAGATGTTCATTGGCAAACTTCAGACGGGCCTGTATATGTGCTTTCTTGAGCAGGGGGACCTTGCGGGCGCTGCAGGATTTCAGTCCTTCACGGCGTAGTGTGTTACCAATTGTTTTCTTGGTGACTATGGTCCCAGCTGCCTTGAGATCATTGACAAGATCCTCCCGTGTAGTTCTGGGCTGATTCCTCACCATTCTCATGATCATTGCAACTCCACGAGGTGAGATCTTACATGGAGCCCCAGGCTGAGGGAGATTGACAGTTCTTTTGTGTTTCTTCCATTTGCGAATAATCGCACCAACTGTTGTCACTTTCTCACGAAGCTGCTTGGCGATGGTCTTGTAGCTCATTCCAGCCTTGTGTAGGTCTACAATCTTGTCCCTGACATCCTTGGAGAGCTCTTTGGTCTTGGCCATGGTGGAGAGTTTGGAATCTGATTGATTGATTGCTTCTGTGGACAGGTGTCTTTTATACAGGTAACAAACTGAGATTAGGAGCACTCCCTTTAAGAGTGTGCTCCTAATCTCAGCTCGTTACCTGTATAAAAGACACCTGGGAGCCAGAAATCTTTCTGATTGAGAGGGGGTCAAATACTTATTTCCCTCATTAAAATGCAAATCAATTTATAACATTTTTGACATGCGTTTTTCTGGATTTTGTTGTTGTTATTCTGTCTCTCACTGTTCAAATAAACCTACCATTAAAATTATAGACTGATCATTTCTTTGTCAGTGGGCAAACGTACAAAATCAGCAGGGGATCAAATACTTTTTTCCCTCACTGTATATACCGCTAAACGTTTACAATAACAAATAGACCTGAGCACCCATTAACATCCATTTATAGTACCAGCGAGACAAAAATGAACATTCCCAGTTCCCACAAGTCGTCTGTCTTAAAACATAAACACAAACTCAATATGGCATTTTGGGGTCGGGCTATAACAGCTACATTTAGTTATTTAGTAGTTGTGCAGTAATAATAATATGCCATTTAGCAGACGCTTTTATCCAAAGCGATACAGTCGTGCGTGCATACATTTTTGTGTATGGGTGGTCCCGGGGATCGAACCCACTACCTTGGCGTTACAAGCGCCGTGCTCTACCAGCTGAGCTACAGAGGACCAGTAATTGTGCAGTTAAGTTAAGGTGGGTATTTTGGGAAGAAATGTGTCTGAGTGACTCAATGTTTGGAACCAAACCTCTGTTCCGTTGAGACTACTAATGTCTCAGAGGGACAATGGAGTGGACCTGGGGCTTTATGATGCTAATGGTAACTGGGTGAAACTGGGTGATCGCAACAACTCTGGGATATACGGACCATGGAGAAAGGCAGTATGGGTCGCTGAGACATTTCAGGGTGGTGAAACATGGTTCTTTTTTTTTGTTTTAAAGACAACCATGAACAACATGATGTAAATATTGTATCTTCTTTATAAATTTGGAAAATTTGGAAATGTCCTATAATAATATTGTTTCTTACATTTGTTAATTACTCAAAGTACAAAATTAAACACATATTTCACAATTATATATCTACCGCTAAACACACAACATTTTTACAATAATACAAAAAAGTCTGTATTATCTGTGAAGTCAAGAAAAGCTATGAGCTATGTGTAATTTTTCTAAAACTGCTGAATCTCACTAATGGTAAGAAGAACGGGGCTTGGCTAGGGATGCATGTTCAGTGCAATGCAGTACAGCAGGACTGGCAAGTCTTAACATAACTGTTATTCCCTTCGCTCCTTGTCATCCATATTTTGCTCTCTGAATCTACAGAATCTGTGTATCATGAAATCACATTCATTTGGGTCATGCCTTGTCATAACAACAGTTTATATTAACAACTGAGAGAGGCAGATTATTGTTAGTTTATATTAATAACACACACATACAATTACACAAACATTCACACCTCGCCCACACTATCCTTCAAACACCTCTCTGTTCATGGTAAGCAACACACAAACAAAAATAGATGTTTCTCTGTTCTTATATGTTTTCACACACCGCCCACGCCTGGGTAAAATGCCGTGGTTTGCTATAAAGCTACATTCAATGGCAGGGAAATTGCCATTGAGTCAATGTGGTGTTGCTTTTGCTTTGACAAGCAGTGACAAGTCCCTGCAGGTGCAATTTTAATTAACCACGGTTGTTGCAACAATAAGTAACAGCTACCAGGTAGATATTGTCTAATACATTAGTGCTAATAGTCTATTGCAAAAAACGGTAACTATGCCACATGCACTGTCGCCTTCTTGGTCTGCAGTGAGAGGCAGGCATATAGTACTGTCACGCGTACTGTAGGTACATTATCACTGTAGGTACATTATCACTGTAGGTACATTATCACTGTAGATACAGTCTCACTGTAGGTACATTATCACTGTAGGTACAGTATCACTGTAGGTACATTATCACTGTAGGTACAGTATCACTGTAGGTACATTATCACTGCCATGTGAGCTCTTTCTTTCCAATAAGAAGTTGCTATGCTTTACCCACACCATTGAGCTCCACTGTAGACAGGATGCAGTGAATGAGTGTGGTGGAAAGTAAGAAATGAACACGGTCAACCAGGTTAGAACTTCAGTCCTGCTCTCAACTGCCCGTACAGCCAGAGAGATGAGAGAATGGTTGAGACGGTGAGTGGAACATACAGTAAGAGGTTTGCGGCCGGATCGTTACTGTCCCTGGCAGGCTGATAATAGACACACACTCAAGGGCAGAACCACACAGTAACCTTTGAGTGTCTTCTTGGTTGGTCAAGTTGCTAACGGAAAATTCAGTCTCTGCGGCACAAAACAAACAAGGACAGGAAGAGCAAGACTGTGACATCCTGTTTGTACAAGCACAAGTGTACCTGTGTGTGTGTGTGTGACAGAGCGAGAGAGAGAGAGAGAGATACATTCATGTTTGTTAGAGGGTACAAAACCCATTATGTCTATGAGATCTAAAGTTTACTTTCATTCTAGCTGCCACTGTTGCCTTTCAAGCTATGGACCAGAAAGTTTACCCTATCACCCTAGTTGATACATTGTAAAAAGCTCAGAATAGCTTAATGTTATTTTCTGTTATTCACAGGAGAAACTTGACCAAGCTGTCCCTGCTCTTCAGTCACATGCTCTGGGAGCTGAGGGCCATGTTTCCAGAGGGGCGCTTTCAAGGCGACACCTACAGGCTGACTAAGACAGAGGCCGGAGAGTTCTGGAGGCGAGCATTTGGAAACAAGTGAGTGTTGGGTGGGGTAACAGTGGAACTAGAATGGAATAAGGGACGTGGGCTTGACAGAACATTCCATAAATAGGAAGAGTCTATTTGTATATAGGCACAGTCTTTTTCTAGTCTTGTGAAAAGTATTCTGTTCCTCTCCCTTTCACTCTCCTTCTCTCTCTCACTTTCCTTCCTTTATCTCCCACTCCTCTCTCCCTCTCCTCCCCTCCCCTCGTTCTCTCTCCTAGGTGTATTGTGCAGTGGAGCAGTTTTAAGCAGCATCTCCGTAGGGTCCATGGCTTTGAAGAGGGGGATTGGAGTCCATGGCTTTAAAGTCAACTGTAGACCTCACCTGTAGCGACCACATCTCAGTGTTCGAGTTTGCATCTTCACCAGGCTATTCCAGGTAACAGTGCAGCTTGGGCGAAGTATTCACCCCCCATTGGCATTTTTTCCTATTTCGTTGCCATTACCAACCTGGAATTTTAAATGGATTTTGGGGGGATTTGTATCATTTGATTTACCAAACATGCCTACCACTTTGAGATACAAAATATATTTTATTGTACACCACCTAAACCACCCCCCAAAAAAAATATAAAAAGAAGCAATTACCACAACACCAAACACAAAACCCCCCCACCAACAACACCCACCCCATGGGTTCCGCTGGTGTACAGCAATCTTTAAGTCATACCACAGATTCTCAATTGGATTGAGGTCTGGGCTTTGACTAAGACATTCCAAGACACTTAAATGTTTCCCCTTAAACCACTTGAGTGTTGCTTTAGATGTATGCTTAGGGTCATTTTCCTGCTGGAAGGTGAACCTCCGTCCCAGTCTCAAATCTCTGGAAGACAAACAGGTTTCCCTCAAGAATTTCCCTGTATTTAGCGCCATCCATCATTCCTTCAATTCTGACCAGTTTCCCAGTCCCTGCCGATGAAAAACATCCCCACAGCATGATGCTGCCACCACCATGCTTCACTGTGGGGATGGTGTTCTCGGGATGATGAGAGGTGTTGGGTTTGTGCCAGACCTAGCGTTTTCCTTGATGTCCAAAAAGCTCAATTTTAGTCTAATCTGACCAGAGTACCTTCTTCCATATGTTTGGGGAGTCTCCCACATGCCTTTTGGCGAACACAAAACGTGTTTGCTTATTTTTTTCTTTAGGCATTGGCTTTTTTCTGGCCACTCTTCCGTAAAGCCCACCTCTGTGGAGTGTACGGCTTAAAGTGGTCCTATGGACAGATACTCCAATCTCTGCTGTGGAGCTTTGTAGCTCCTTCAGGGTTATCTTTGGTCTCTTTGTAGCCTCACTGATTAATGCCCTCCTTGCCTGGTCCATGAGTTTTGGTGGGCGGCCCTCTCTTGGCAGGTTTGTTGTGGTGACATATTCTTTCAGTTTTTTAATAATGGATTTAATGGAGCTCAGTTCAATGTTTCTGATATTTTTTTATAACCCAACCCTGATCTGTACTTCTCCACAACTTTGTCCCTGACCTGTTTGGAGAGCTCCTTGGTCTTCATGGTGCCGCTTGCTTTGTGGTGCCCCTTGCTTAATGGTGTTGCAGACTCTGGGGCCTTTCAGAACAGGTGTATATATACTGAGATCATGTGACAGATCCTGTGACACTTAGATTGCACACAGGTGGACTTTATTTAACTAATTATGTGACTTCTGAAGGTAATTGGTTGCACTAGATCTTATTTAGGGGCTTCATAGCAAAGGGGGTGAATATATATGCACGCACCACTTTTCCGTTATTTATTTTGTATAATTTTTTTAAACAAGTACTTTTTTTCATTTCACTTCACCAATTTTGACTTTTTTGTGTATGTCCATTACATGAAATCCAAATAATAAAAATCCATTTAAATTACAGGTTGTAATGCAACAAAATAGGAAAAAGGGTTGAATATTTTTGCAAGGCACTGTACATGTGATCCTTATATGTTAGCCCTGTTATAAGTTAATTAGACACCTCACATAATGTTCAGAGAACATGCATTCTGCCACTTTCCAAGATGTCTATCCCATTCTTTCTGTCTCCCACTGTCTAAAGAAAGCCAAAACATTCCAAAGTGGAAAAAAATAACACATATTTCAACTGATAGTAAATATTTCCTCCCCTCTCCTGTCAGCCCTGGAGGTCTCTTCTGAGGAACTGGAACCAGTTGGCAGTGACCCACCCCGGCTACATGGCCTTCCTCACCTACGACCAGGTCAAAACCCGCCTCCAAAACTACCTGCACCGGCCCGGGAGGTGAGGACAGGAGAGATTGTTTGGGGGTGGATGGGTTGGGGTGTGGAGAGAGAGAGTAGATGACTGGGAAGGAAGAGGGGGATAAGAGGTGCTCAGGAGAAAAGAGAGGAGGTGTACCATAACCTACAACAATATCTGCAGTGATTACGTTTAGGGCACACTGACAGAATAATTATAATAATAGTAAAGAATAATACCTAGATAGTAGAGGTAACTGCCAAAATAATGGAAACACTTGAGGAAATGAGGGGTACAAAGTATAATGAAAGAAGGTGCTTCTACACAGGTGTGGTTCCTGAGTTAATTAAGCAATTAACATCCCATTATGCTTAGGGTCATGTATAAAAATGCTGGGCAGGCCATTATTTTGGCTACTATGGCTATGCCCCCATAAGATGACATCCACAGGGCATGAGAGGTCACTGAATGAAAACAATGTAAAGCATATGCCATGGCCGTCTCAGTCACCAGATCTCAACCCAATTGAACGCTTATGGGAGATTCTGGAGCGGCGCTTGAGGCAGTGTTTTCAACCATCATCAACAAAACACCAAATTATGGAATTTCTCGTGTAAGAATGGTCTTGCATCCCTCCAATAGAGTTCCAGACACTTGTAGAATCTATTCCAAGAATGCATTGAAGCTGTTCTGGCTCAACGCCCTATTAAGACACTTTATGTTGATGTTTTCTTTATTTTGTCAGTTAACTGTATTTCACGTTCAAATCTGTATGAACTCCAGTAAAGACGTTTCCACGTGAACTCTGTATCTCTGTCTAGCTACATCTTCCGTCTGAGCTGCACTCGGATGGGCCAGTGGGCCATTGGTCATGTGACTGGTGATGGCGGCATCGTACAGACGATCCCCCAGAATACACCTCTCTACCAGGCCCTCATCCAGGGCTTCAGGGAGGGCTGGTGAGTAAATGCAGACATGGACACACATCACAGGAGGTTGGTGGCACCTTAATTGGGGAGAATGGGCTCGTGGTAATGACTGGAGCAGAATCAGTGGAATGGTATCAAATACATCAAACACATTGTTTCCATGGTTTCCAGGTGTTTGATGCCATTCCATTCGTTCTGTTCCAGCCATTATTATGAGCCGTCCTCCCCTCAGCAGCCGCCACTGACACACACTAGTGATGCGCGGGTTGACAGATAAAAAGCTGCCCTGCGATTATATCCTTGGGGTGGGTGGGTTTGGGGTCATTACATATTGTGTGGATGAAGGGCGGCTGGGTCCATAAACATTTAGGCTTTCTGGCAATGGCATTAGTGCATAAGCCTAAGCTTTAGGGCCTAACTGTACGCGCGCTAAATAGTCTATACGCCAATCGCCAAATGCTTTTGGGAATGCCCCCATGGAGGCAAAAAGGACAATGCCAGAGTTTAATTCAATAAGAGAAAAGCTGCGAAACGGAGAGTTGAAAATGAAGAGAAGGTAGGGCCAGAAAAGTCATGTTTGGGAAAGATCTGGTGAAGTGGTAAAAGAGGATGATAGCAGTGTGTGTGATGATTGTGAGGCGCTATACAAATTCGACAGTCACAAGATGGGGACTTCAAATACCCTGCTCAAATAAATAAAGGGAACACTTAAACAACACAATGTAACTCCAAGTCAATCACACTTCTGTGAAATCAAACTGTCCACTTAGGAAGCAACACTGATTGACAATAAATGTCACATGCTGTTGTGCAAATGGAATAGACAACAGGTTGAAATTATAGGCAATTAGCAAGACACCCCCAATAAAGGACTGGTTTTGCAGGTGGTGACCACAGACCACTTCTCAGTTCCTATGCTTCCTGGCTGATGTTTTGGTCACTTTTGAATGCTGGCGGTGCTTCACTCTAGTGGTAGCATGAGATAGAGTCTACAACCCACACAAGTGGCTCAGGTAGTGCAGCTCATCCAGGATGGCACATCAATGCGAGCTGTGGCAAGAAGGTTTGCTGTGTCTGTCAGCGTAGTGTCCAGAGCATGGAGGCGCTACCAGGAGACAGGCCAGTACATCAGGAGACGTGGAGGAGGCCGTAGGAGGGCAACAACCCAGCAGCAGGACTGCTACCTCCTCCTTTGTGCAAGGAGGAGCAGGAAGAGCACTGCCAGAGCCCTGCAAAATGACCTCCAGCAGGCCACAAATGTACATGTGTCTGCTCAAACGGTCAGAAACAGACTCCATGAGGGTGGTATGAGGGCCCAACGTCCACAGGTGGGGGTTGTGCTTACAGCCCAACACCGTGCAGGACGTTTGGCATTTGACAGAGAACACCAAGATTAGCAAATTCGCCACTGGCGCCCTGTGCTCTTCACAGATGAAAGCAGGTTCACACTGAGCACATGTGACAGACGTGACAGAGTCTGGAGACGCCGTGGAGAACGTTCTGCTGCCTGCAACATCCTCCAGCATGACCGGTTTGGCGGTGGGTCAGTCATGGTGTGGGGTGGCATTTCTTTGGGGGGCCGCACAGCCCTCCATGTGCTCGCCAGAGGTAGCCTGACTGCCATTAGGTACCGAGATGAGATCCTCAGACCCCTTGTGAGACCATATGCTGGTGCGGTTGGCCCTGGGTTCCTCCTAATGCAAGACAATGCTAGACCTCATGTGGCTGGAGTGTGTCAGCAGTTCCTGCAAGAGGAAGGCATTGATGGTATGGACTGGCCCGCCCGTTCCCCAGACCTGAATCCAATTGAGCACATCTGGGACATCATGTCTCGCTCCATCCACCAACGCCACGTTGCACCACAGACTGTCCAGGAGTTGGCGGATGCTTTAGTCCAGGTCTGGGAGGAGATCCCTCAGGAGACATCCGCCACCTCATCAGGAGCATGCCCAGGCGTTGTAGGGAGGTCATACAGGCACGTGGAGGCCACACACACTACTGAGCCTCATTTTGACTTGTTTTAAGGACATTACATCAAAGTTGGATCAGCCTGTAGTGTGGTTTTCCACTTTAATTTTGAGGGTGACTCCAAATCCAGACCTCCATGGGTTGATAATTTTGATTTCCATTGATAATTTTTGTGTGATTTTGTTGTCAGCACATTCAACTATGTAAAGGAAAAAGTATTTAATAAGATTATTTCATTCATTCAGATCTAGGATGTGTTATTTTAGTGTTCCCTTTATTTTTTTGAGCAGTGTAGGTCTATGGAAAGTCAAGGGAACTGTAGCCTACTGTTTAGATCGGTTAAATGGAAACCAAAATCTGGACACTGACTGTAGGTCTATAGCCTCTGACATAGCCTTAATATTAACTCTTGCAGAATTAAGCATTTCTTGCAGTAAAATTATACACCAAATGTAGGCTACATTTTGACTTGGGAACAGTGGTTGCTGATGGGTTATTAGAAATTGTGGGCGGGTGCAGGTGAACAAACAGCTGACCCGTGCAACACTAACACACACACACACAACATTTGCATAGGCCTGTAATCGTTTTGCATAATGTGTGTGTAATTCTGTGTTGTGTTTTCCTGCAGCTATCTTTACCCTGATGGACGTGATGTGAACCCAGACCTCACCAGTCTGTGTGAACCAGCACAGAGAAGCAGGGTCAAAGTTACAGAGGACGAGTATGAGATGTACTGTGAGATGGGCAGTACCTTCCAGCTGTGTAAGATCTGTACAGAGAGAGACAAGGACACACGCATCCAGCCCTGCGGACATCTGCTGTGCCAACCCTGCCTCACAGGATGGCAGGTACAGTTGAAGTCGGAAGTTTACATACACCTTAGCCAAATACATTTAAACTCAGTTTTTCACAATTCCTGACATTTAATCCTAGTAAAAATGCCCTGTCTTAGGTCAGTTAGGATCACCACTTTATTTTAAGAATGTGAAATGTCAGAATAATAGTAGAGAGAATGATTTATTTCAGCTTTTATTTCTTTCATCACATTCCCATTGGGTTAGAAGTTTACATACACTCAATTAGTATTTGGTAGCATTGCCTTTAAATTGTTTAACTTGGGTCAAACGTTTCGGGTAGCCTTCCACAAGCTTCCCACAATAAGTTGGGTGAATTTTGGCCCATTCCTCCTGACAGAGCTGGTGTAACTGAGTCAGGTTTGTAGGCCTCCTTGCTCGCACACACTTTTTTAGTTCTGCCCACAAATGTTCTATAGGATTGAGGTCAGGGCTTTGTGATGGCCACTCCAATACCTTGACTTTGTTGTCCTTAAGCAATTTTGCCACAACTTTGGGAGTATGCTTGGGGTCATTGTCCATTTGGAAGACCCATTTACGACCAAGCTTTAACTTCCTGACTGATGTCTTGAGATGTTGCTTCAATATATCCACATAATTTTCCTTCCTCATGATGCCATCTATTTTGTGAAGTGCACCAGTCCCTCCTGCAGCAAAACACCCCCATAGCATGATGCTGCCACCCCCGTGCTTCACGGTTGGGATGGTGTTCTTCGGCTTGCAAGCGTCCCCCTTTTTCCTCCAAACATAACGATGGTCATTATGGCCAAACAGTTCTATTTTTGTTTCATCAGACCAGAGGAAATTTCTCCAAAAAGTACGATCTTTGTCCCCATGTGCAGTTGCAAACCGTAGTCTGGCTTTTTTATGGCGGTTTTGGAGCAGTGGCATCTTCCTTGCTGAGCGGCCTTTCAGGTTATGTCGATATAGGACTCGTTTTACTGTAGATATAGATACTTTTGTACCTGTTTCCTCCAGCATCTTCACAAGGTCCTTTTGCTGTTGTTCTGGGATTGATTCGCACCAAAGTACGTTCATCTCTAGGAGACAGAACACGTCTCCTTCCTGAGCTTTATGACGGCTGCGTGGTCCCATGGTGTTTATACTTGCGTACTATTGTTTGTACAGATGAACGTGGTACCTTCAGGCATTTGGAAATTGCTCCCAAGGATGAACCAGATTTGTGGAGGTCTACAATTCCTTCTGATTTTCCCATGATGTCAAGCAAAGAGGCACTGAGTGTGAAGGTAGGCCTTGAAATACATCCACAGGTACACCTCCAATTGACTCAAATGATGTCAATTAGCCTATCAGAAGCTTCTAAAGCCATGACATCATTTTATGGAATTTACCAAGCTGTTTAAAGGCACAGTCAACTTAGTGTATGTAAACTTCTGACCCACTGGAATTGTGATACAGTGAATTATAAGGGAATTAATCTGTCTGTAAACGATTGTTGGAAAAATTACTTGTGTCATGCACAAAGTAGATGTCCTAACCAACTTGCCAAAACTATAGTTTGTTAACAAGAAATTTGTGGAGTGGTTGAAAAACAAGTTTTAATGACTCCAACCTAAGTGTATGTAAAATACCGACTTCAACTGTATGTCTACTCTGTGATTGACTACGTCACCAACAAAATCCTCAAAGCCAAACCACACACCGTTCGCTCACACAATGTCTCTGACATCACCCAGACACATCCTCTTTTATAAATATATATCATCAACATGCCAATTTGGGTTAACGGTATGGAATTGGTTCTTGGTCAGTCAGTTAATATGTCCGCCCATCCACCTGTCAATCAGTCAGTTAGTCAGTTGGTCAGTCAGTCAGTTAATCTGTCAGTCAGTCTGTCAGTAGGCTAGTCTGTCCATCCGTGCATCTGTCAGTGAGCCAGCCAACTACACATCAGTCTGTGAACCGGTGTAGCAGCACATAGAGCAGTATTGTTGGCCATCATGTCCTAACATGTGGGTTAGGACTTCCTGTGTGAGCTGAAGTGTACATCCTCCTCATGATACACTCACAGTGAGGAGACTTACCCTTAGAGTTTCCACTCCTCGCCAGGTCACACACTGTCACACACTATCACACACTTTCACAGTCACACTTCAGGGGACAAGAAGACACACAATAGAATAGATTTGAACAGAATACTCAGATTGTTACCAAAGCGAACTATGGTAGAATACTCAACCTTAATTTGATATGCTAAACCAGTTGCTTTACTGTAAGTGTAGCTTCATGCAATTAACACACAGAAAGGACATTATTATGGGTAATGCACTTTCAGCATTGAAATACATCTGCTCAGGTATGCTCTTGACAGAACCAAATGACTGCATCCCGGGATCTTTTTGACATTCAGCAATGATTTTTCACTCTGCATTGTTGGGAAGGGCCCGGAAGTATTTCCTGTTAGTCTATACCTGTTGTTTACCAAGTATGTGACAAATAAAATGTGATTTGATTTTATACAACAATACACACACATACACAGACACTGGGAGTTTACATACATTAACATACAGTACAGATGTGTACATAACGTTTATTCTGCTTAACCTGGTATGATCATTCCATGTGTTGCAGAAGTCGGATGGACACACCTGCCCATACTGTCGTTGTGACATCAGAGGGACAGAGTCCATCCTGGTGGAGCCCTACCTGTCTGTCAGCGAGGAGGAGGAAGAGGAAGATGACCTGGAGGATATACAGCTAGTCATGAAAAAACTGGCCTATATGAAGGGGGTGTGTTTGTGTGTGTGTGGTTGTGTGTGGGGTAGGGGGTGGGGGGTGGGGGGGGGTTCTCATTAACTGTCTCTGTCTCTTAGTGTTTTTTCTTGTGCATTGACTCTCCTTTCTCTCTCTCTCTCTCTCTCTCTCTGATGCAGATGTCGTCTGAAGAGTACCAGTTCCCCAGCTCCCGCCTCGCTCCACCCCTCCCTCCCAAACACAGCACCTCCTCCCGCTGCCCTTCCCCACAAGCCCCCTTACGGCCCTCTGTGCCCGATACACTGGCCAAATACTCCCACTCTAACTCGCGTTCTGTAAGTTCCCCCATACACACACTCTACAGAATTGATAGTAACAGTACCACAATGGAAAGAAGTCGTCTAACCCATAGTTACTGATAACTGGGGCTTCGGTACACAGGTAAAAGTGTGCCCTTATTCCACCACAGGCTCACAGTGACACCCCCTCAGACAGAGCGCTCACACACCACACCACCAGCACTAACAGGTGAGCTCTAAATGCATACTGCAGTGGATGGATAACCGATAACTAATCGATAACGTTTTAGGCTATTAAGAATTATTTGAAATGAATGAACAATATGGAAGATGTCTATCGGAAATAGAAGAATTGTGTACTGTAGCCTACATCCAAAATAAACTCAGCTCACTGTTTGTTCCTCCCTTGGTCTGGTGTGTACTGGCCATAGCCATACAGTTTACTGAATACAGTTTATATAAACACTTTTGCTTTGTATGGTTAGCTCAATAACCTGAAACTTTACCACTTTGTGTGTGACCTAATGTTCCACAAGTAAATACAAGTAATTTGGTTACAGCACATCCTCATTGAACTTGATTGACAGCTCTTGTGTTCTGTCTCCTCCCCTTAAATGCCAATGGGAGGAGCTAGCCAGTAGTGAGGAGGAGAATTCTGGGGGGTTCAGACAACCGCCCACACTCCCAATCTCTCACATGTCAGCTATGCCTGTCCCCAATGGGACTTTCTTAACTTTTGGCAGGAAAAAATGTGTGTTTATTTTTAATGTAACACAATAATATGCTTGCTCTACATAAAATAATAAATGCGGCCACAAGTACCATGTTTTAATCGTAAACATTATTTGTATAGCACCTTGTATGCAGTATTAGCTGTCCAAAGTGTTAAAACATGACGGTGGTGAATGCTGTTGTTCTGTTCTCTGTGTAACAGTCAGGAGTCTGTCTCAGAGCCAAACCTCCCCTCCTCCTCCCCCCAGTCCTGTGGAGAGGGTGAGTATCAGAGAGGAGGGGGGAGAGGGAGTGGAGGGCTGTTCTATACAATAATAAGCTATTTTACAGGGGCTTCTCCACTTACTGTAACACACACTGAGAGTTAGTTGACCCCTCACTAACCCCTCTCTCTCTCTCTCTCTCTCTCTCTCTCTATATATATATATATATATATATAATGTACCTTGAAGGTGGAGCAGCCTGGGTAGGGGCCTCAGATTCAGTGAAACCGAAGAAGAGACATAAAGAAAGGGGTGAAAGGACGGCAGAGCTCGGGTTCAGCCAGAGAGAGCGGGAGAGAACCATGTCCTCCTGACACTGGGAGAAAAGATAAGCACAAAATCTCAAACTGACTGACTCAAGAATGGATGGATAATAGGAATAAGAAAGGTCAATTTGCACTGTTCCTGAAAAACAGCCATTGTTAATCTAATGTATCTGGATCTAATGTATGCCTTAATATGGAGGGAGAATGCCCTATTGATCTACTAATAATGACATCAAAGTGAATGAAGAAGGACAGAGAGATGGAACAACTCACTAATGCCCTCTGCTGCACAGCAAACAGGGTTAGCTGCAGCACAGTTCCAATGACAGGTCCCTCAGAACTTTGTCCAGGATGTATGGCTAGTACTGTATATAGCCTACATACTATAGTTTGATGTTAATATGGTCAAACATGAAACCCAAATAAAAATGTTGCACCTCTCTCAAGTTGTTAAAATGTACTCAGAAGTTTGCCCACTGATCATACCAATAAAAATGCACATAGTAATGAAAGTGTAGTTCCTAAGACAGACAGACGGAAGATCGTGTAACTTCAGGCTTTATTGTGTTTGACATGCTTACACTCTAGTATTGAACTAGGAGGAGAACGAGAGAGAGAGGAAGAGTTTGGAGGGAGAGGAGTGGAGGTCTGAGAGACAGGGAGGAAAGCAGCTAGCGGTGTTACATGTTGGCCTTCATGGTCTCATCGATCCAGGGGAGGAACTCACAGACTTTGACGTAGACTCCGGGGTATCCGGGCACGGCACAGCCCTGACCCCAGGACACCAGGCCATGGACCTCACCCAAACACACCAGACCACTGCCAGAGTCCCCCTGAGAGAGAGAGAGAGAGAGAGAGAGATCGCTCTAGCGAGAGAGCAGTGAGAGATAGAAATAGAGAGAGCGAGCGATAGAGAGCGATCGATATAGAGAGAAGAGCGAGCGATGATAGAGAGAGAGAGAGAGAGAGCGATAATACGCTCTCTTCTCGCCTCTCTCTCTCTCCGACGCAGCGCTGGGTCTTCGATCTTCTCTATCTCCTACTCGTCCGTTCTCGCTACGTTAAAATCAATATTCAGGTTGATCCTAATATGTACCAATGTGTTTTCTACATGACTGCACAACAAAGATAGCAAAGGTCATATACTGTACATACGTTGCATACGTCTCTGCCTCCGTCCATGTATCCGGCACACACCATCCTGCGGGTGAGCATGCCAGGGTAGGCCTTCTCACACTTCTCATCCTCCAGTATGGGCACGTCCAGACACTGCAGACGGGCGGGCATGTTTACTGAGAAGGAAGCAAAAGACAGGGAGATTCAGTCATTTAATATAATTTATCCGTAGTCAAACCTCTTCTCCAGGTGAGGTGTTTGTTGTTAGAGTGTGTGTGGATAAAGGTAGTGAGGGAATAATTAATGTTGGTAAAGTTTGTTTGGTATAGTGTGTTTGGGTGTACTTTCTGTGGTTATAGTTTTGGAAAGGTAAAATGCAGGGGTATTTGGTCCGTCTCACCCTCCTCTCCGGTGGCGGTGTTGCCCCAGCCGGAGACGGAGCATGGGAGGCCTGCGTTTGGGCAGCCGGTGGGCAGTGGGATGGGCTTCACGTAATCAGTGATCTCCACAGGGTGGAACAGCTTGATCAGCATCATGTCATAGTCCAGCGTCTGGTAGTCATAGCTACAGAGAGAAGAAGAGAGATAGGCCAAGGGATTCTTATTGCATCATATAATATGATAAAACCCCATTCAGCCTCAGTTCAGTTGTTATAAAATGGCTTCCCTTAAATGATGGGTAAGGGGTAAGTGTGGGGTGTAGCTTGCCTGGGATGCCAGATTATGTTTTGAGTCTTCATGAGCTGCTCAGTTCCCTCAAACACACGCAGGTTGTGGTCTCCAAGCATGATCTGCATAGCGTAGGGGCTGAGAGAGGAGGAAGAGGGGGAGAGGAAGAAGAGGGTAGAGAGGAGGGAGGGAAAGACAGAGTGGTAAAATGATGAGTACAGAGCAACTTCATGTCACAGTCTGCAAAGATCCAAATTGTTACATTGCAGAAGACATAGAATAGCCGTCCTTTGGGTCCATATTGGCCCTCCCCTGCCCTCCACCCTTACTCACTTGTACCAGCAGTGAGCGACAGAGAGCACCCACTGCTCGTTGATGAGCACGGCTCCGCAGAAGTGGTACCCGTAGTTGAGGGAGGCCATCCAGGGTCGGGAGTGAGGTTCACACTCCTGGCCCCCGATGATCTTACCATCCTCACGGGGCACTGCCGCTGAAACACACACACACAGAGAGAGACACCATATAGAGAGAGTGGTCACAAGAGGGGAGAGATGAGGACATTGTTGCTCTCTGAATAGCATTCATCAGAATTGTTCTACATCACATAAAAACCTGTTGGGTAACAAAGTTGAAAGCTGTTATAAGCTACATGTAAGATGACTATTCCCTACGCATAGTTTATGATATATAATTGGTAGAGTATATTAAAGTACTGTATGTTTGTGTGTGGTGTGTGGTGTGTGTGTATTTCATTACCAGCAGATCCAACCAGCAGTATCAGAGCGAGTAGTCTCATGGTGTCTGTCTGTCCAGTGAACGCTGGCTGATCAAAGACACCTGGACACGCACATGGACTTTATTTATACACACCCTATCTGCCCTCCCCTACCCCTCAAACCCTACCTTCCCTCCCCTACCCCTCAAACCCTACCTTCCCTCCCTTACCCCTCAAACCCTATCTGCACTGCCCTCCCATATGCACACAACCCCTATCTGCACTGCCCTCCCATATGCACACAACCCCTGTTTGCACTGCCCTCCCCATGCTTACCACCCTAATCACTTCCCCCTCCCCTTACTCTGCCTTATCCCTAACCATACAAGCATACATTGGCCACAATATTTTTTTAAACACACCTGCATACACTCCGCAACATACACTCCCCTATGTATTTATTTGGACAGTGAAGCTAAAATGTTTTATTTGTCTCTATACTTCAGCATTTTGAATTTGAGAACAATGTTTTATATGAGGCGACCATACAGTATGTCACCTTTTATTTGAGGGTGCTTTCATACTTATCTGTTTTACCGTTTAGAAATGAAAGCACTTTATGTATCTAGTCCCCCCATTTGAAGGTGTCATAAGTATTGAGAGTGTTGGAGTGTGCCTCTGGCTGTCTGTAAAAATAAAAAATAAAAATCATTCCATCTGGTTTGCTTAATATAAGGAATTTGATGTATAGCATTTACTTTTACTTTGTACTTTTACTCAAGCATGACAATTTAATACTTTTTCCACCACTGCTAAATCAAGCTTGTGACTCTACAAACTTGTTGGATGCCTTTGCAGTTTGTTTTGGTTGTGTTTCGGATTATGTTGTGCCCAATAAAGATGAATGGTAAATAATGTATTGTGTCATTTTGGAGTCACTTTTACTGTAAATAAGAATATAATATGTTTCTCAACACTTCTACATTAATGTGGATGCTACCATGATTACGGATAATCATGAATGAATCTTGAATAATGATGAGTGAGAAAGTTACAGATGCATGAATATCATACCTCCAAGAAAATCCTAACCTCCCCTGTTATTGGCAATGGTGAGAGGTTAGCATGTTTTGGAGGCATGCCCTTTGTCCATCTGTAACTTTCCCACTCATCATTATTCATTTATGATTCTCCGTAATCATTGTAACATCCATATTAATGTAGAAGTGTTCAGAAACATCTTCTATTCTTACTTACAATAAAAGGACTCCAAAATGACACAATCCATTTTTTACCATTTGCACAACATAATCCGAAACACAACCAAAACAAACTGCAAATGCATCCAACAAGTTTGTAGTCACAAGCTTGATGTAGCCATTGCGTGCTAGGAATATGGGACCAAATACTAAACTTTTGACTAAATTAAATACACTATAAGTGAATATGTCCAAATACTTATGACACCTTCAAATGGGGGGACTAGATACATAAAATGCATTCATTTCTAAACGATAAAACATATATATATGAAAACACCCTCAAATAAAAGGTGATATTCTGTACTGTCGCCTCATATAAAACATTTGTTCTCAAATTCAAAATGTTGGAGTATAGAGCCAAATTAAAAGTTTTAGCTTCACTATCCAAATAAATATGTAGGGGAGTGTACACCTAGCTGGTGATTAACCAGTAGCTGGCAAACTGTATATGACAGACATTTAGCCTTTTGAATTGGCATGTGGCACAGAAGGACACGTACCCATGGCTGGCCATATGCAGTATCAAAAGGACCACGGCTACTTAACAGCCTGTGCTCATCCAACAAAGTCTATTCGCTTTCCTATCGTTGCATCTTACAGAACAACTAATTATTCTATTGAATGCACTGATTGCAAAACATTTTCAGTGTGCAAATCATCCTTCTGTCTGCTACTATTCACATTTTACTCATAGAGCCTTCCTTATCTCTGCTACTATTCTTTAGTACTCTTGGTATGCCCTTGAATATAGGCCAGGAGCTGTGGGAGAAATGGCCACCTGTCATGTTAGAACTGGTGCCTGAAAAGTACAACAAGAATTTCCCCCGCTTCTATAAGGTCTCAATGATCCTACCACTCTGACAATCTGGCCAACAGCACAACTGTTTCAACACTAAACACTTTCTGTCCCGAAGTCCCAAGGTTGAAACGGCTGCAGCTGTGACTTATTCCAATAACAAAATGTCTCAAAAAGCATGATGAAATTGGCGTGAGGAATGGGATAAAGGCATGCTCGGAGTACTTGGCAGAATGGAAGGGGGGTTTGTGATAAGATGAGGCATGAAGGGGCAGGAGAGTTTGGAAAGGGGGCAGGGCAGGGTGGAGGGATAGCAGTTGAGATAAAAGTATAAATGTAGCAAATTGCAGAGTGCACATCTCCAGTCTGGTGAATGAAGACTTGTCTCCGCAGCACAATGATTGGCCTGATTGTACTCACACTCCTGGGGGCTGCAGGTAACACACACACACACACACACATAGAGACACACATATTTTACAGACAATGTGGACATTAGCTTAATGCTCTCCTTTTGCCCATCTTGTATATCTCTAACCTCTGCATCTCTCTGTCTTCTGTCACCTTCCTCCTCTCATACTCTCTGAACACTACTCCCTCTCTCCATCCTCCTCTCTTTCTCATCTGACCCTCCCTCTACCTTCCTCTCCTTCCCTCCCTCAGTGGCAGCTCCTATGGATGACAGGATTGTGGGGGGTTATGAGTGTGAGGCTCACTCCCAGCCTTGGCAAGCCTCTCTTAACATTGGCTACCACTTCTGTGGCGGCTCCCTCATAAACGACCAGTGGATCATCTCTGCCGCCCACTGCTGGATGAAGTGAGTACTGCAAGGTCACAGTCAACCGTCTTTTCCCTTTACTGCGCCTCCCTTAGGCCTCTCTTCTGCTGTTAGTTCATTCACACAAACCTTATATAAGAACCATGTAAAGTTACAAAATAAAATCACGCTGTCCATGTCACCAATTTTCATTCTGTCTTCACTTTCTGTCTACCCCTCTCTCTCCTTGTCTTAGGATGTGACCTAGATAATCACTGATATTCACTTCATGCACATTACTTCTTGTCATATCAAAGATATGACCTCTCTCTCTCTCTCTCTCACTCACTGGAGCCCTCGCGATCGAAGTCTCGCTACGTCTCTACTCTCTCTCTAGAGCCTCTCGTCTCTCATCTCTCTAAGCTCTCCATCCTTGGAGAGCTGCCATCCCTGGTGACCACCACATCTGGAAGCACGAGGGTACGGAGCAAGCTACATGTCGTGGACGCCCATCTACTGGCACAAGAGTACCAACACCAGCCCCTGAGACCACGACATTATGTGTTGAAGCTGGCCCACCCTGTCAATCTAAATGAGGTTGTCAGCCATCGCCTGCCCACGGCCCCTGCCCAAGGCTGGGGACATGTGTGTGGTGTCTGGATGGGGAAACATCTACACCGACTCTGGTATGTATGCAGACAGAGTGTAGTGTGGGATGGGGTGGAATGAGGATGAGATTGGGATGAGATTAGAAAATATGGGTTATTGAATGCAATCAACTAAATTACATCTTCTTTAAACTGTAGCTCACTGTAGGCCTACATGTTGATGGGGAATCACCAAGTCAATTTACTTGTTGACAAGTCTGGTGATGAGAGTCCTGAGAGGGTAGCTTCTCTCATATATCTCTCTTCTCTCTCTCTCTCTCTCTCTCTCTCTCTCTCTCTCTCTCTCTCTCTCTCTCTCTCTCTCTCTCTCAGTGTTCAACCCATTTAACCTGCAGTGTGTGGACATCCCCATCCTGTCTAATAAGGACTGTGAGGAGTCCTACCCTGGCCAAATCACTGATACCATGGTGTGTGCCGGATACCTGGAGGGAGGCAAGGACTCCTGTCAGGTATGGAGAATACCCCTGCAACCTCACAAACAGAACATTTCATTTGTTTCTTCATTCATTTATATATTAATTCATTCTCTCTCTCTCTCTCTCCCTCTATTTCTCTTTCAGGGTGACTCTGGCGGTCCCCTGGTGTGTAACGGAGAGCTGCATGGCATCGTGTCCTGGGGTGTTGGCTGTGCCCAGCCCAACTACCCTGGTGTCTACACCAAGGTCTGTGCCCTGCTGCCCTGGATCCAAGAGACCATCACCAACTACTAGCCTGTGCCCTCCCCACCAGAGTAGAGAGAAAGAGAGAGGGAGAGAGAGAGAGAGAAGAAGATTAAGTAGAGAGAGATAGAAGGCTGATGTTGATACATGCAGGAAGACAAAGGGACATCTAGTCAATAAAATGACATCTTTGACTTCAGATCCTACTGTATGTTTGTCTTTTTTATTACAATTCTTTGTGTCAATAAAACAAACAATACACAAACAATCAATTATTTAGGTAACAGGGTAGACCACTACAATATATAAAGTCACATCAAAAATTGTAATAATGTAAAATTAGATGACACAAAGACTAATAAAACATTGAAAGAATAAGAGGTACTCTTCCACTGTTTGGCATTTCCCAAGTATCCACCTACTAGTTACTAGTACAATCAAATAGTGACATTGGTATAGAGTACAGAGCAGGACATTAGTTGGCAAAGACAAATCAAATGGAAAAGTAACCATGCTAACAAAGATATGCTAACAAATGTATAGCATCCATTGTATTGCACTACACAATGCTAATGCTGCTGATGATGCTAATGCTAATAATGATGGTATAGCTAACAACAATGCTAATTCTAATAATGATGCTAACTCTAATAACAACGCTATAACTAAGTTAACAAACTCAAACCTTGGGTTCCTGACTCTTTATTGTCATGGTAACAAAAGTGATTACATTTTAGTCATTTAGCAGACGCTCTTATCCAGAGCAACTTACAGGTAGTGAATGCATACGTTATTTTCTTTTCTTCATATACTGGCCCCCCGTGGGAAACTAACCCACATCCCTGCCGGCCAAACCCTCCCCTACCTTGGACCAATTGTGCGCCGCCCATGGGTCTCCCGGTCGCGACAGAGCCTGGACTCGAACCAGGATCTCTAGTGGCACAGCTAGCACTGCGATGCAGTGCCTTAGACCACTGCGCCACTCGGGAGTGATTAGACATTTGACATTGACATTTGACCTGTAAGAGATGTATCTACAGCGCTTGTAGCATCCACCATGAAGAACAGGTTTTCTCAGTTTGATTATTTTACGTCATTCTACGCCTGCCGCCATGAGCACTGCTTTAGCATCCTCCACCATCTCTTTTATTCCCTTGTCCAGAAGGTGTAGTGTAGTGGCAAAGGCAATCCCCACTGACCCAAAACTACCAATGGCAGGTATGCTAGTCAACAGAACCTCAATAGTCTTGGCTGCCACCATGGCTGTTGTACTCAGCATTCCAGCCACCACCTTCTCATCGACTCCCCCAGCGAAGCGAGACTTCATCGTTGAGCTCAGTTCACCCACTGGCTTATTGACACGTTCTGAGAGTCTCTGGAGGGATTTCTCATCCACTCCAAAGAATATGAAGGCCCTGTAGAGGAAGGCCTGCATAATACCAATCTTACAGCCCACCGAGAAGCCAGGGATGGGTACGGCTGCTGTGGTGGAGGCGGCAGCAGCTGCAGCACAGGCAGTTTGGAAAATACATTTCCTCTTCTTTTCAATCATGACTTTGGAGCAAATCAGCAGAGACTGGATCAAGGCGGACCGCTTGTGCCCTGGGAGGTTTTTCGAGAGAGTCGATCAGCTGCTGGGAATCTTACTTCCCCAGCTCTAAGGTGGAGATGAGGAAGACTTTTGGGTTCCCTTCGGTCTTCAGGTACTCCTCACAGTTCTGTCTGATCTTGGAGAGCAAATCTTCCTCCCTGTAGTTCTTCTTCCATGCCTCGGCTCGGATGTCGTTGTCGATCTTAGACTGGACAAAGTAAAACATCTTCTTCATCTTCTGGATTTCTTTGGCCAGCATGATGTCGTTCTCTTTGAACCTCACCGTGCCAATGATGATGAAGAAGTCGTAGGTTTTAAACCTGACCACCTTTAGATACTTCTTTGCTTTAAAGTTTGAGGTCCCAGATGTACACGTTAGGCATGGTAGGGTGGCTGTAACTGATGGCCTTCATGGTGGTCTTGGTCACTCCGGTTTCTGCTGCTCCCTCGTCCCCATCTCTGAGTCCAAGAAAGGCATTAACGAAGGTGGATTTTCCCACCCCGCTCTCCCCTGCCACAGCGATGCTAAGGGTCACATTCTCCAGGAGATCCAGGTCCTTCTTTTCCTTGGCTGCGTTCTCTGCTTGGGTAAACTTGTCGCAGTTCTTAATTTCATTGATGATGTCAGGATCTTCACAGAAGTTTTCATCAGACATCTTGCTACTGAAAACCAAGAAAATGTGTTAATTGAGAAAAGTTGTTAAATTAATAACACACAAACATCCATCACTTGCAGAACTATACATTTATGTAATATACATGCATTGCAACAAGCGGATAAGGCAGTGACGCAAGAAAGACAGATGTCCTAACTCTGCCCTTTCGTCAATGTCAAACTGATGTTGTCTACTTACAGACGTGTATGCTGGAACCAGACACAGCGCCAGGGTAAAGTGACTAAGGGGGCAGTTGAAATCGGCGAGGGGGGCACATTTTATGGGGGTTCTTACATTGGAATTGTATTGAATTCTGCTTATATAATCACGCTACACCACAATAAACATAAAGTTAAAATGCAGACACTCCAAGATCATTGAATGCTTTTAAAATCTGTAGCCTATATCTGCTGCACTGTATCAGCACAATGAACAGCGCCCTACATCTAAGCCGTTTTTGCTACAAGATAGATAAGGCAATTCACCTATTACAAACAGCCTATGTGAATGCAGCCATACACACAGCTGTCTTACCAAAATAATGCAAGTTAAATGCTGAAAGTAGTAGCCTAGTTATTCATGCATGCAAAGAAAAATACTGAATAGCAGTTTGGCTTAGAATACCGACAGAACTACGAATGTGAACGAATGCGAACAGAACAAAACAGCGGTACCAAGCAGTAAGCCTAGCAAACAAAATATCTGATCGATAAAGGCATGACACAATCTATATTTAGGCTAGTTACATTAACAGTAAACACACGCAGTAAACAAAAGGAGAATGGAGACCCAAATAACCAAAACATAGCCTACAGCCTACTACAGTGAGATGCAGCCATGCACAGCTGTCTGTGCCTATCTCCCTTAGTCAACAAATCTAATAAAATCCAAGTTTATTGGTCATTTGCACAGGATACAGTGTAAACGATGCAATGAAATGCTTACTAGCAAGCTTCCTCAAAAGTGCAATGTAAAATGTCTTTTTTTTTTAATAGTAAAATATTATAGTAAAAGGTAAAAATGCAAATATTATATCAATAAAAAGTAGTAAAAGGTAACAGAACATCAAATATATGGAAGAAAAATACAGAATATACTATGTCAAGTAATGGCATATACAAGTAGAGATTGAAAAGTGACCTACAGAGCATACAGTAGTGAATTTTTACATACAATAGTATATGTCATAGATTATGTCTTCAACCAGATTTAGTGACTTAAGTTAAGTACAGTAGCAGTGACTGTTTTCTTTTATTTATTTGTTTCACCTTTATTTAACCAGGTAAGTCAGTTGAGAACAAGTTCTCATTTACAACTGCGACCTGGCCAAGATTGTCACGCCCTGACTCAGGGGACTCTTATATGTTGAGTCAGGGTGTGTTTATTCTTTGTTTGTATATATTCTATGTTGTATATCTAGCATGTGTGGATCTATGTTGGCCGGTGTGGTTCCCAATCAGAGGCAGCTGTCGCTCGTTGTCTCTGATTGGGGACCATACTTAAGCAGCCTATTGGCCCAGTCTAGTTGTGGGATCTTGTTCCGGTTAAGGTATGTTGTGTGTGCTACCTTGGACTTCACGTTTAGTTTCCTTTGTTGTTTTGTTGTGTGTTTAACAGTTAAAATAAACATGTACGCATATCACGCTGCGCCTTGGTCCGTCCCGTCATTCAACGAACGTGACAGAAGATCCCACCAAACAAGGACCAAGCAGCGTGCCAAGAAGGAGCAAACGCCTGGGACTCAACATGAGGTTACGTTAGTAGATGTCCTCCTCGGTTGGGGGAGAATTACGGAGGAGGAGGCCGTCCGTTATCGGAGGGCGATGAAGGAGGATGCCCAAGTTGGAGAGGAGAAACGGCGCCAACAGTGCCGAAGACGGAGACCCGAGAGGCAACCCAAAGACATTTTTTGGGGGGGGCACACGGTGTGGACAACGAGGCAGCAGTAGGCCGTTAAAGGGCAGATCTGCAGGTTAGGAGAGGAGGCCACCATGTTACGGGGGCTATTGGTTCAGAGGGAGCAGGAGTTATTCGGTCAGAGTGAGGCGCTACAGGAGGCTAAAAGGGAGAAGGAAAGAGTAGCGGCACGGCGAGAGGAGCTGGTTAGGCAGCAGAAGGAGCGGGGGTTAATAAAGGAACCCAGTCCTGCTCCTCGCACCAAGCAAGTGGTGCGTGTCGCCAGTCCGGTCCGGCCCGTTCCTGCTCCCCGCACCAAGCCAGTGGTGCGTGTTCCCAGTACGGCCTGGCCCGTTCCTGCCCTTCGCACCAAGCCTGTGGTGCGCGTCGCCAGTCCGGCCCGGCCTGTTCCTGCTCCTCGCACCAAGCCAGTGGTGCGCGTCGCCAGCCCGGCCTGTTCCTGCTCCTCGCACCAAGCCAGTGGTGCGCGTCGCCAGCCCGGCCCGGCCTGTTCCTGCTCCTCACACCAAGCCAGTGGTGCGCGTCGCCAGCCCGGCCCGGCCTGTTCCTGCTCCTCGCACCAAGCAAGTGGTGCGTGTCGCCAGTCCGGTCCGGCCCGTTCCTGTTCCCCGCACCAAGACAGTGGTGCGTGTTCCTAGTCCGGTCCGGCCCGTGCCTGCTCCTCGCACCAGACCAGTGGTGCGTTTGTCCAGTCCGGCACGGCCCATGCCCGTTCCACCGGTGCCGGTCAGCTGCTCCACTCCGGAGCCAGAGCAGTCCGCTCCACCGGTGCCTGATCCAGTGCCAGTCAGCTGTTCCACTCCGGAGCCAGAGCAGTCCGCTCCACCGGTGCCTGATCCAGCTCCGGTCAGCTGCACCACTCCGGAGCCAGAGCAGTCCGCTCCACCGGTGCCTGATCCAGCTCCGGTCAGCTGCGCCACTCCAGAGCCAGAGCAGTCCGCTCCACCGGAGTCTAGTCAACAAATCATTTTCTTCTGAAACTTGTCAGTTTATTCTTGTTCTGAGAAATTAAGGCTATTCCATGCGAGAAATTGCCAAGAAACTGAAGATCTCGTACAACGCTGTGTACTACTCCCTTCACAGAACAGCGCAAACTGGCTCTAACCAGAATAGAAAGAGGAGTGGGAGGCCCCGGTGCACAACTGAGCAAGAGGACAAATACATTAGAGTGTCAGACGCCTCACAGGTCCTCAACTGGCAGCTTCATTAAATAGTACCCGCAAAACACCAGTCTCAACGTCAACAGTGAAGAGGCGACTCCGGGATGCTGACCTTCTAGGCAGAGTTGCAAAGAAAAATACATATCTCAGACTGGCCAATAAAAATAAAAGATTAAGATGGGCAAAAGAACACAGACACTGGACAGAGGAAGATTGGAAAAAAGTGTTATGGACAGCCGAATTGAAGTTTGAGGTGTTCGGATCACAAAGAATAACATTTGTGAGATGCAGACCAAATGAAAAGATGCAGGAGGAGTGCTTGATGCCATCTGTCAAGCATGGTGGAGGCATGATGTGATGGTCTGGGGGTGCTTTGGTGGTGGTAAAGTGGGAGATTTGTTCAGGGTAAAAGGGATCTTGAAGAAGGAAGGCTATCACTCCATTTTGCAACGCCATGCCATACCCTGTGGACGGCGCTTGATTGGAGCCAATTTCCTCCTACAACAGGACAATGACCCAAAGCACAGCTCCAAACTATGCAATAACGATTTAGGGAAGAAGCAGTCAGCTGGTATTTTGTGTATAATGGAGTGGCCAGCACAGTCACCGGATCTCAACCATATTGAGCTGTTGTGGGAACAGCTTGACCGTATGGTACGTAAGAAGTGCCCATCAAGCCAATCCAACTTGTGGGAGGTGCTTCAGGAAGCATGGGGTGAAATCTCTTCAGATTACTTCAGCAAATTGACAACTAGAATGCCAAAGGTCTGCAAGGCTGTAATTGCTGCAAATGGAGGATTCTTTGATGAAAGCAAAGTTTGAAGACACAATTATTATTTCTATTAAAATTAGAATAACCTTGTCAATGACTACATTTCCTATGCATTTTGCTATATTTCCTATTCAAACTCATTTCATGTATGTTTTCATGGAAAACAAGGACATTTCTAAGTGACCCCAAACTTTTGAAAGGTAGTGTAAATAGTATCAAAGTGATTTAATCAAGCAACTTAGTGTCATGTGCACATATTTTTTTATGTATTTAAATGTCCAATGCAGTTGTTTTTATCTCAGTATCAAATCATTTTTGGGTAACAATTAAGTACCTTACTGTGATTGTTTTCAGTTAAAATGGTCAAAAATAAACAAAAATAGCTTCTTCAATTTATCAAGCAATAATTTTGCTAGGACTATGAGGGAGTGGTCTGAGTGGGCAGGGGAAAACTAAAAACTAGCTATTATTGGCAGAGAGGTTTGGAACTATTTTACTTTTATATTTTTTATAGGGGGTTTGGAAGTATCTTTCGTATTGGTCTATTCATTAATTTACTCCATGCCAACAAAACAGGCTGAAATGTCAGGTGGTCTTTTCAAACAGCTCATACACTAAAAGTGCATTATCATACTTTTCACAATTTCACATTGTTATTCCAACCTCATAGTGTGGAAGTATATATAAAACACAGGAAAGTCGCGTGTTTGACTGCACTGGGCCTTTAAGTAGTAAATCTGCGATTGCTACATCAATTTTTTTACTATTAAATTAATTATATATGAAGATATTTTTTCCAAAACACTATATATTTGTTTTCAGAAATGTTGGTAAATTAGCTTTTATTGTTTAAAGAAATTATGAAAGAGATGTGTGTTTTTTCAATATCTAATCATGGCATGGGGTTGTTAAATGGCAGACATGTACTATATATAGAAAAGTATGTGGACACCCCTTCAAATTAGTGGATTCGGCTATTTCAGCCACACCCGTTGCTGACAGGTATTAAATCGAGCACACAGCCATGAAATCTCCATAGACAAACATTGGCAGTAGAATGGCCTTACTGAAGAGCTCAGTGACTTGCAACGTGTCACCGTCATAGGATGCCACCTTTCCAACAAGTCAAATTTCTGCCCTGCTAGAGCTGCCCCGGTCAACTGTAAGTGGTGTTATTGTGAAGCGGAAACGTCTAGGAGCATCAACGTCTCAGCCGCGAAGTGGTAGGCCACACAAGCTCACAGAATGGGACCGCTCAGTGCTGATGCGTGTAGCGCGTAAAAATCGTCTGTCCTCGGTTGCAAGACTCACTACCGAGTTCCAAATTGCCTCTTGAAGCAACATCAGCAAAATAACTGTTCGTTGGGAGCTTCATGAAATGGGTTTCCATGGCCGAGCAGCCACACACAAGCCAAAGATCACCATGCGCAATGCCAAGCACCGGCTGGAGTGGTGTAAAGCTCGTCGCTATTGGACTCGGGAGCAGTGAAAATGCATTCTCTGGAGTGATGAATCACGCTTCGCTATCTGGCAGTCCAACGGACGAATCTGGGTTTGGCGGATGCCAGGAGAACGCTACCTGCCCAAATACATAGGGCCAACTGTAAAGTTTGGTGGAGGAGGAATAATGGTCTGGGGCTATTTTTCATGGTTTGGGCTAGGCCCCTTAGTTCCAGTGAAGGGAAATCTTAATGCTACAGCATACAATGACATTCTAGACGATTCTGTGCATCTAACTTTGTGGCAACGGTTTTGGGAAGGCCCTTTCCTGTTTCAACATGACAATGCCCCCGTGCACAAAGCGAGTTCCACACAGAATTGTTTTGTTGAGATCGGTGTGAAGAACTTGACTGGCCTGCACAGAGCCCTGACCTCAACCCCATCGAATACCTTTGGTATGAATTGGAACGACGACTGTGAGCCAGGCCTAATCGCCCAACATCATTGCCCAACCTCACTAAGGCTCTTGTGGCTGAATGGAAGCAAGTCCCCACAGCAATGTTCCAACATCTAGTGGAAAGCCTTCCTAGAAGAGTGGAGGCTGTTATAGCAGCGAAGGAGGGACCAACTACATATTAATGCCCATGATTTTGGAATGAGATGTTCAACGAGCAGGTGTCCACATACTTCTGGTCATGTAGTGTATTTGTTTAAAATCACTTGATGATTTCATTTCAGAGATGTTTTTTTGCAAGATGCTATTACCCACCTCACTCTCAGAGAAATTAGTAGAACTGCAAATGTAACAAATAACTACATATTTTTTTATAAAGAACTGTACAAATGATACATTTGTGACATCAATATTTAAAAATGTTGGTAAAAAATAATTCAATACAGTAATATGAGATCTGTAAAACATTTACATTTGACATTTTAGTCATTTAGCAGATGCTCTTATTGAGAGCGACTTATAGTTAGTGCATTCATCTTAAGTTAGCTAGGCGAGCCAACCACATATCACAGTCAAATATACAGGATACGAACATTCCATTCCAGCTAAACAATGGATTATAGCATTTTTCCAAAAAACAACAACATTTTCATACACATCTAAGATCTATGAATTAATAATCTGAGAACAGTAATATTTTCCACACACATGAAGGTACCCATAAGGAATAACTTCTGATGAAAAAACACAAATGTGAAAGATTGGGGGATATAGCGTTTGAAAATAAGCTCTTCATAAGCCCATAGATTTTTTAAGAATATAACTTATAAATGCCTCACGAGCTTAGTTCATGAACTGTCGTACCCCATCAGAACCCAACATATAAGCCTGTTTAACTCCATTGTTAAACTATCGTTTTGATATCATGGATGGTCAGTCCTTGCTTCCATAGCTCTGTCTATGAATTTGAGAGTGGTTACATTACTCCAGCCCCATCCTTCAGATTTTCACCAAAACAGTGGCGGTGTGACCGCTTTGCTGTTGTTTGAAATGCAGACTGCCCCTTTTAAGAGTGTGGGCAATAACAGTGGTGTGCATTCGATAAGTACATTCATGGATTTTATTTTCAATAACCTTTCAACAGAAAGTCCACAAACAATAGAGGATTGACAGAAAATCCTCTCTCTCTCTCTCTCTCTCTCTCTCTCTCTCTCTCTCTCTCTCTCTCTCTCTCTCTCTCTCTCTCTCGCTCTCTCTCTCTCTCTCTCTCTCTCTCTCTCTCTCTCTCTCTCTCTCTCTCTCTCTCTCTCTCTCTCTCTCTCTCTCTCTCTCTCTCTCTCTCTCTCTCTCTCTCTCTCTCTCTCTCTCTCCTTGGAGTCAGCTTGCCATCCTGGGTGACCACCACATCTGGAAGCACGAGGGTACGGAGCAGTACATGTCTGTGGACGCCATCTACTGGCACCAGAGCTACAACTACCAGACCCTGAACCACGACATTATGCTGTTGAAGCTGGCCCACCCTGCCATTCTCAATGAGTTTGTCAAGCCCATCGCCCTGCCCATGGCCTACCCCAAGGCTGGGGACATGTGTGTGGTGTCTGAATAGGAAAACATTGACACCGACTCTGGTATGAATGCAGACTGGGTGTAAAATGGGATGGGGTGAGACTGGGGGTCTGATGGGGGTCCTGAGAGGGTGGCTGTATTCCACCACTACCTGATAATAACACTTATCTTTATTCTCTCTCTCTCTCTCTCTCTCTCTCTCTCTCTCTCTCTCTCTCTCTCTCTCTCTCTCTCTCTCTCTCTCTCTCTCTCTCTCTCTCTCTCTCTCTCTCTCTCTCTCAGTGTTCAACCCATTTAACCTACAGTGTGTGGACATCCCCATCCTGTCTAATAAGATCTGTGAGAAGTCCGACACTAGCCAGATCAATGACACCTAGAGCTCTGCTACCCGACTCGAGCCCGGATGGGCCACGGCATTATACATTGGGTTGTTTTTTCATCAATAACTAGGGTACAGGCAGGACTCGTTTATCACTAAATTGATATTCAAAGCTGAGTCATTTGCTCGTGCTCTGCTGGGCAGTACTGTCATATCTCACTAAGATCATAACAATAATAATATGCCATTTAGCAGACGCTTTTTTTAGCCAAAGTGACTTACATTTTTGTCATTTAGCAGACACTCTTATCCAGAGCGACTTACAGTTAGTGAATACATTATTTTTTTATACTGGCCCCCCATGGGAATCAAACCCACAACCCTGGCGTTGCAAACGCCATGCTCTATCAACTGAGCTACATCCCTGCCGGCCATTCCCTCCCCTACCCTGGACAAATTGTGCGCCGCCCATGAGTCTCCCAGTCACAGCCGGCTGCGACAGAGCCTGGATTCGAACCAGGATCTCTAGTGGCACAGTTAGCACTGCGATGCAGTGCCTTAGACCACTGCGCCACTCAGGAGACAGACATTACTTACAGTAATGTGTGCATACATTTTTATGTATGGGTGGTCCCGGGGATCAAACCCACTACCCTGGCGTTACAAGCGCCATGCTCTACCAATTGAGCTACAGAGGACCTCGTCAAATATAAAACAGGAGAGATTATTCCACAGAAAATACGAATGTAGAGTGACTAAACGTAGCTAACAGCTAACTGCTCTCTCATGCCTCGTCATTGAGCAGAGCAGCCCAAGCGGAGCCGTTGCTTGATACTCACAGACACAAAGCCGCCATGAGCAGAGTTCATGCAGACCGAGTGACAGAGAGGAGCAGCTAATGGATTTACTAATGGAGGAAGTTATTTCTGATTTCGGGTTTCGGGCCAGGCCTTAAATTTGACAGAAGCAATCGGGCCTGGGTAGGGTAGGGCCTGAACGTCGCAGGCATGCCCCTGGAGGGCTCTACTGACACCATGGTGTGTGCCGTGTACCTGGAGGGAGGTAAGGACGCCTGTCAGATACAGACAATACCCCTGCAACTTCGCAAACTAATCATTTCATTAATTAATTAATTTATATATTAATTAATTATCTCTCTCTCTTTCTCTCTTTCCCTCCCTCCCTCCCTCCCTCCCTCTGTCTCTCTCTAAGTGTGACTCTGGCGGTCCCCTGGTGTGTAACGGAGAGATCATGGCATCGTGTCCTGGGGTGTTGGCTGTGCCCAGCCCAACTACCCTGGTGTCTACACCAAGGTCTGTGTCCTGCTGCCCTGGATCCAAGAGACCATCACCAACTACTAGCCTGTACCTGTACACTTCTTCTCTACTTACCTTGTGTCAAAATGAAAGTCCCCCACAAGTTATTCCCAGTTTGTCCACATATGGCAGACGTGCAGGACTTTTATTTTGACACGAGGTAAGCAGAGAGGAAGTGGGTCTACAACAGACCCATGTTTCAAAAGTCTGTTTAATAATAGGATCCTTTAGAGATTTTGTCTCAAATTCCCCCCTTCGTAATGACCAACCTTCCTGCCCACCGGCACAGTAAGTTGAAATGAAATTATATTTAACTTCTGGCTTCCCGCAGACTATTTTTGTGCAATACAATTGAAAGAAACGCTAGTTTATGTAAATACACCCGCATTGCTAAGATCAGCTATGTCACTGCTTCTATGACTATATTCCACTGCCTACTTCATTTGTTCATTTAGCAAATAAGACAGCTCATAATGCAGTGCATTTATCACAGTCAACACACCTATATTTTAGCTTTATTTAACTAAAGAAATGCTACATTTTCTGTCTCATGGCAAAATGTGTAGAATAGCATGAGATTAGCTATAAAACTGCACATTTTCCTCTCTTCCCCATGGCAAAATGTGTAGAATTACAGGAGATTAGCTTTAGAACAGCAACATTTTCTCTCAGCTTCATGGCAAAATGTGTAGAATAGCATAAGATTAGCTATAAAACTGCACATTTTTCTCTTTGCACGATTGGGTTCAAGTCTGGCTGGGCCACTCAAGAACATTCAGAGCCTTGTACCGAAGCCACACCTGCGTTGTCTTGGCTGTGTGCTTAGGGTCATTGTCCTGTTGGAAGGTGAACCTTCACCCCAGTCTGAGGTCCTGAGTGCACTGGAGCAGGTTTTCATCAAGGATCTCTCTGCACTTCGCGCCGTTCATCTTTCCCTCAATCCTGACTAGTCTCCCAGTCCCTGCCGCTGAAAAACATCCCCACAGCATGATGCTGCCACCACCATGCTTCTCTGTAGGGATGGGGCCAGGTTTCTTCCAGACGTGACGCTTGGCATTCAGGCCAAAGAGTTCAATCTTGGTTTCATCAGACCAGAGAATCTTGTTTCTCATGGTCGGAGTCCTTTAGGTGCCTTTTGGCAAACTCCAAGCGGGCTGTCATGTGCCTTTTACTGAGGAGTGGCTTCCGTCTGGCTACTCTACCATAAAGGCCTGATTGGTGGACTGCTGAAGAGATGGTTGACCTTCTGGAAGGTTCTTCCATCTCCACAGAGGAACTCTGGAACTCACCTCCCTGACCAAGGCCGTTCTCCCCTGATTGCTCAGTTTGGCTGGCGGCCAGCTCTAGGAATAGTCTTGGTGGTTCCAAACTTCTTCCATTTAAGAATGATGGAGGCCACTATGTTCTTGGGGACCTTCAATGGTGCAGAAATGTTTTGGTACCCTTCCCCAGACCTGTGCTTTGACACAATCCCGTCTCGGAGCTCTACGGACAATTCCTTCGACCTCATGGTTTTTGCTTTGACATGCACTGTCAACTGTGGGACCTTATATAGACAGGTGTGTGCCTTTCCAAATCATGTCCAATCAAGGATGATCAATGGAAACATGATGCACCTGAGCTCAATTTTGAGTCTCATAGCAAAGTGTCTGAATACTTATGTAAGAAATATATTTACGTTTTTAATTTTTTATACATTTGCCAACATTTCTAAAAACCAGTTTTTTTGTCATTATGGGGTATTGTGTGAAGATTGATGAGGAAAACATTTATTTAATCCATTTTCAACCTGTGCTTTTCAAAGGATAAAGTTAAGAATATTAACAACTTCATAGGTAAGAACACTATAACAATATGGAAGAAAATGAAACGTATTCTACAACAACCAACATCACTTCCTAGAAAACAACCTTATGGAACAATCCTTGGATAGCTTTTCAGAATTCTGGAGGAGGACGACAGCGACAGTGCCACTCTGGTGGCACGAAGTGACAGTACACCACACGTTGTCGTAAACACTCTTTTGGGTCTGGAGGCGGCAGGCAGGGCACTCTCGCATCACCCCAGGTATCGAAAACCCACACTCGTTCAGAGCCCTCTGCTGCCCACTGTACCCTACCCATCTACTTTCCCGATCACATGGTAGTTCCCCAGTGTAAGGCGCTAGTAGATTCAGGTGCAGCTTGGAACTTTATGGACAGGGCATTCTCACGTCGTCTAGGCATTTCATTGGTTCCCCTATCCATTCCACTCCCCATCAGAGCACTTGATAGTCGACCATTAGGGTCCGGGTGTGTTCAGGAAGTTACTGCACCAGTCACCATGATTACTCAGGAGACTCATTGTGAGCAGATCTCTTTTTTTATTATTGAGTCCCCTGCTTTCCCTGTGGTATTAGGTATCCCTTTATTAGCACTCCACAACCCCACCTTCTCATGGCCGCAGAGGGTTCTCACAGGGTGGTCGCGAGAGTGTCAGGGTAGGTGTCTAGGTGTTTCCGTTGGTGCAACCACGGTGGAAAGTCCAGACAGTACCTCCACCGTGTGCATTCCCCCCGAATACCTCGATTTGGCGCATGCATTTGTAAAAACGCAGGCTACCAAGTTACCACCTCATCGGGCGGGGGATTGCGCGATAAACCTCCGGGTTCATGTGTACCCCCTGTCGCAGGCTGAAACGGCGGCTATGGAACATACGTCACCGAGTCCCTGCACCAGGGGTATATACGTCCCTCCACTTCACCCGCCTCCTCGAGTTTCTTCTTTGTGAAGAAGAAAGACTGCGGTCTACGCCCGTGTATTGATTATCGACCACTGAACAAGGAGGGGAGGCAGCCTCGGCGGAAGTCGTGACAGTACCCCTCCCTTGAAGCGCAGCTGCAGCAGCACGCCGACCCCGACCTCGGTTACTACCAGGAGGACGCGGAGTAGGGCGAGCCGGATGGCGATGGTGGAAATCCCGCAACAGGGAGGGATCGAGGATATCCCTCACCGGGACACAGCACCGTTTCTCCGGACCGTACCCCTCCCACTCCTGCTCGGTTTGTGCCCAGAGTAAGGCACCTAGGCACCTCCCAGTGGGTAAGTTACAACCTTTACCAGTTCCACAATGACCATGGTCTCACCTAAGTGTTGATTTCCTGACTGATCTTCCCCTCTCCCAAGGTAGCACCACCATCCTGGTCGCTGTGGACCGCTTTTCCAAGGCCTGCCGCCTCCTTCCTCTGCCCGGTCTCCCCACGGCTCTGCAAACTGTGGAGGCCCTGTTTACACACGACTTCCAACACTACGGGGTACCAGAGGATATCGTGTATGACCGAGGTCCCCAGTTCACATCCAAGGTCTGGAAGGCGTTCATGGAACGTCTGGGGGTCTCGGTCAGCCTGACCTCTGGGTTCCACCCCGAGTCTAATGGGCAGGTGGAACGGGTAAATCAGGATGTGGGTAGGTTCCTGCGGTACTACTGCCAGGACCGGCCGGGGGAGTGGTCGGTGTTCTTGCTATGGGAAGAATATGCCCAGAACTCTCTCCGCCACTCCTCTACTAACATAACACCATTCCAATGTGTTTTAGGTTACCAACTGGTTCTGGCACCGTGGCACCAGAGCCAGACCGAGACTGGTTTCGGCGCGCGGAGGAGACGTGGGACGCTGCCCACGTTCACCTCCAACGCGGCGTGCGTCGTCAGAAGGCCAACGCTGACCGCCACCGCAGTGAGGCCCCGGTCTTCATACCGGGGGATCAAGTCTGGCTCTCAACCCAGAATCTGCCCCTCCGCCTGCCCTGCCGGAAGCTGAGCCCGTGGTTTGTGGGCCGTTCAAAGTCCTGAGGAGAATCAACGAGGTCACCTATAGGTTATTACTTCCCACTGATTACCGTATTAACCCCTCGTTTCATGTGTCTCTCCTCAGGCCGGTGGTGGCTGGTCTGCTCCAGGAGTCTGAGGTGCGGGAGGTCCCTCCACCTCCTCTGGACATCGAGGGGGCCCCAGCATACTCTGTCCGTTCCATCCTGGATTTGAGGCGTCGGGTGGGATGCCTTCAGTACCTTGTGGAGTGGGAGGGGTACGGTCCGGAGGAACGGTGCTGGGTCCCGGTGAGGGATATCCTCGATCCCTCCCTGTTGCAGGATTTCCACCGTCACCATCCGGCTCGCACTGCTCCGCATCCTCCTGGCCGTCCCTGAGGCCGGGGTTGGCGCGCTGCTGGAGCTGCGCGTCAAGGGGGGGGATGGGTTAGAGCTGTCTTTCTGGGTAAGTCTCTAAAAAACCTTTCCACACCTGGATTGCGCAACATTTACCAATTTTTCTATTTGAAATTCTTAAATTCTGTCAAACTGGTTGTTGATCATTGCTAGACAACCATTTTCAGGTTTTGCCGTAGATTTAAATGAAAACTGTAATTCGGCCACTCAGGAACATTCACTGTCTTCTTGGTAAGCAACTCCAGTGTAGATTTGGCCTTGTGTTTTAGGTTATTGTCCTGCCGAAAGGTGAATTCATTGTCAGAACGGCGTAGGTGTGGTGTAGGAATCAGATGCAGGACACAGATGCTAGTCCAAAAATACTTTAGTAAAGTCCACAGAATGAATGGCTACAAACAGAGCCGGAGGCACGAGAAAAATAACGCACACAGCGTATACATGCAAAATACACACAACAAGTGCGGACTCTCTATCTAAAACAGAATAGAGCACAAACTGACTGGAAGCACCTGCTGACAAAGAACAACTACACACAACCACAAGACAGAAACAACGAGAACTTAAAGGACACACAATCAAGACAAATGAGAAACAGGTGTACCAAAACAGACCAAACCAAACAAACACAGAAACAATGAACGGTGGCAGCTAGTACTCCGGGGACGACGACCGCCGAAGCCTGCCCGAACAAGGAGAAGGAGCAGCCTCGGCCGAAACCGTGACATTCATATCCCAGTGTCTGGTGGAAAGCAAACTGAACCAAGATTTCCTCTAGGATTTTGCCTGTGCTTAGCTCCATTCCATTTATTTTTTATCCTGAAAAGTCCTTAACGATTACAAGCATACCCATTACAAGCAAACTATTACAGACTACAAAGGGAAGCACAGAGGCGAGCTGCCTAGTGACACGAGCCTACCAGACGAGCTAAATTACTTCTATGCTCGCTTCGAGGCAAGCAACACTGAAGTATGCATGAGAGCATCAGCTGTTCCGGACGACTGTGTGATCACACTGTATGTAGCCGATGTGAGTAAGACCTTTAAACAGGTCAACATTCACAAGGCCGCAGGGCCAGACAGATTACCAGGACGTGTACTCCGAGCATGCGCTGACCAACTGGCAAGTGTCTTCACTGACATTTAAAACCTGTCCCTGACTGAGTCTGTAATAACAGCATGTTTCAAGCAGACCACCATAGTCCCTGTGCTCAAGAACACTAAGGTAACCTGCCTAAATGACTACCGACCCGTAGCACTCACGTCTGTAGCCATGAAGTGCTTTGAAAGGCTGGTCATGGCTCACATCAACACCATTATCCCAGAAACACTAGACCCAGTCCAATTTGCCTACCGCCACAACAGATCCACAGATGATGCAATCTCTATTGCACTCCACACTGCCCTTTCCCACCTGGACAAAAGGATCACCTATGTGAGAATGCTATTCATTGACTTCAGCTCAGCGTTCAACAACATAGTGCCCTGAAAGCTCATCACTATGCTAAGGACCCTGGGACTAAAAACCTCCCTCTGCAACTGGATCCTGGACTTCCTGACGGGCCGCCCCCAGGTGGTAAGGGTAGGTAACAACACATCTGCCACGCTGATCCTCAACACGGGGGGCCCCTCAGGGGTGCGTGCTCAGTCCCCTCCTGTACTCCCTGTTCACCCATGACTGCATGGCCAGGCACGACTCCAACACCATCATTAAGTTTTCTGACGACACAACAGTGGTAGGCCTGATCACTGACAACGATGAGACAGCTTATAGGGAGGAGGTCAGAGACCTGGCCGTGTGGTGCCAGGATAACAACCTCTCCTTCAATGTGATCAAGACAAAGGAGATGGTTGTGGACTACAGGAAAAAGAGGACCGAGCACGCTCCCATTCTCTTCGACGGGGCTGTAGTGAAGCAGTTTGAGAGCTTCAAGTTCCTTGTTGTCCACATCAACAACAAACTATCATGGTCCAAACACACCAAGACAGTTGTGAAGAGGGCACGACAAAGCCTATTCCCCCTCAGGATTCTGAAAAGATTTGGCATGGGTACTCAGATCCTCAAAAAGTTCTACAGGTGCACCATCGAGAACATCCTGACTGGTTGCATCACTGCCTGGTATGGCAACTGCTCGGCCTCCGACCACAAGGCACTACAGAGGTTAGTGCGTACGGCCCAGTACATCACTGGGGCCAAGCTTCCTGCCATCCAGGACCTCTATACCAGGTGGTGTCAGAGGAAGGCCCTAAAAATCGTCAAAGACTCCAGCCACCCTAGTCATAGACTGTTCTCTCTGCTACCAAACGGCAAGCAGTACCGGAGCACCAAGTCTAGGTCCAAAAGGCTTCTTAACAGCTTCTATCCCCAAGCCATAAGACTCCTGAACAGCTAATCAAATGGCTACCCAGACTATTTGCATTGTTTCACCCCCACCCCCCCCTTTTACGCTGCTGCTACTCTCTGTTTATTATCTATGCATAGATAATACCTCAACTACCTCAACTAGCCGGTGCCCCCGCACATTGACTCTGCACTGGTACCCCCCTGTATATATAGCCTCCCTACTGTTATTTTATTTTACTTCTGCTCTTTTTTTCTCAACACTTTTTTTTATTTTTTATTTTTTACTATTTTTATAAAAAAATTAATGCATTGTTGGTTAATGGCTGTAAGTAAGCATTTCACTGTAATGTCTACACCTGTTGTATTCGGCGCATGTGTCCAATAACATTTGATTTGATTTGATTTAACTCTACCTACAGGTACATGTACATATTATCTCAATTACATCGACTAACCTGTGCCCCCGCACATTGACTCTGTACCAGTACCCCCTGTATATAGCCTCGCTACTGTTATTTTACTGCTGCTCTTTAATTATTTTGTATTTATATTTTTTACTTAACTCTTATTTTTCTTAAAACTGCATTGTTGGTTAAGGGCTTGTACAGTGGGGAAAAAAAGTATCATATTCCTAGCACGCAATGACTACATCAAACTTGTGACTCTACAAACTTGTATGCATTTGCAGTTAGTTTTGGTTGTGTTTCAGACCCCACAATATAGGATGAAAAAGTATTTTAAGTTTCGATGTGGAATTTTCAATGCAATTTCCACATATACATAATTATAATGATATTGGAATTATACTGAACAAAAACATAAACGCAACACCAACAATTTCTAACATTTTGATGAGTCAGAGTTCATATAAGGAAATCAGTCAATTGAACTAAATTCATTAGGCCCTAATCTATTGATTTCACATGACTGGGCAGGGGCACAGCCATGGGCGGGCCTAGGAGGGCATAGGCCCACCCACTGGGGAGCCAGGCCTAGCCAATGCCTTCACTACCTAATTCTACATCTAGCTAAGGTGTTTTGTGGTGGTAGAATCAGTATTTATGAAATTCTAAATGTGCAAAAAAATTTGCTAGCTAACTTTAGCTAAACTATGTTTATTTTCTTGTGAAGCTTTTCATTCCCTGTTGCACACAACAGGCTTCCATTCCCCCTGTCAAGGGGATTTATGATGGAACCTCAGCCCTGTTATGATCAATGCTGTTACTGTAATGGCACTTACCATATACTTTTTTACACCTTGAGATGGGAAAACATATTTATTTTATTAAGTTGAACATGTGGTCTTAATGACAAAATTGTAAAATTTGGTAAAATTATATATTTTATTTTATCAAGTTACACTACACAAAATGTACTCAATTCGTAAAACGACCAATGTAAGGTATATAACAAGCAACTTTATAGCTTCAAACAAAATTCAACATTTTACATTTTTCTCTCAATACGTTGTTTACCACTGATACATGGAGTTCTATTTATCGATACTAATATTAACCATGCTCCTGTGAGCTGGATCTCTATATTGTCTCTCACTACCCACCTTTGTGCTACACCCTGCAGCTTGTTACAGATGCATTTTAGATATGGCATGTCCACTACAGCGAAAGCTTAAGGCACATTTACAGTCATTGTACGCCTGCCTCCATGAGCACTGCTTTAGCATCTTCCACCATCTCTTTTATTCCCTCGTGCAGAAGGTGTAGTGTAGTGCCAAAGGCCACCCCCATTGCCCCAATACTACCAAAGGAAAGTATGCCAGCCAACAGAACCTTGATAGTCTTGGCTGCCACCATGGCTTTAGTACGCAGCATTCTAGCCACCATCTTCTCATCGACTCCCCCAGTGAAGCGAGACTGGATTTCTTATCCAGTCCAAAGGCTATGAAGGCCTTGTGGAAGAAGGCCTGCATAATACCAATCTCACAGCCCACTGAGAAGCCCGGGATGGGTATGACTGCTGTGGTGGAGGCAGCAGCAGCTGCAGCGCAGGCAGATTTGAAAAGCTCCTTCCTCCTATTTTCAATCATGATCCCGGAGCAAACCAGCAGAGACTGGATTAAGGCAGACCTCTTGTTTTCTGACAGGTGTTCCCCCAGGGAGTCAATTAGCTGCTGGAAATCATACTTCCCCAGCTCAAACAAAGGTGGAGATAAGGAAGACTTTAGGGTTCCCAATGATCTTCAGGTTCTCCTCGCAGCTCTGTCTGATCTTGAAGAGCAACTTATCCTCCCTGAAGTTCTTCTTCCATGCCTCGGCCTGGATGTCATTGTCGATCTTCGACCGGACAAAGTAAAACATCTTCTTCATCTTCTGGATCTCTTTTGCCAGCATGATGTCGTTCTCTTTGAATCTGTTTGTGCTGATGATGATGAAGGAGTCATAGGTTTCAAACGGGACCTCCTTCAGGTATTTTGGGGCTTTAAAGTTTGAGGTGCCGATACTGGGAAGGTCCCAGATGTACACGTTAGGCATGGTAGGGTGGGAGTATCTGATGGCCTTCGTGGTGGTCTTGGTCACTCCAGTTTCTGCTGCTCCCTCGCCCTCGTCCCTGAGTCCAAGTAAGGCATTAACGAAGGTGGAGTTTCCCACCCCTCTCTCCCCTGCGATGTTAAGGATCACGTTCTTCAAATGGTCCAGGGGCTCCTTTGCCTTGGCTGCATTCTCTGTTGGGGTGAACCTGGCATAGTTCTTAATATCATTTATGTCAGGATTATCATTGAAGTTTTCAGCAGACATCTTATCCTGAAAACACAATAAAAGTAGTTCAATTTAGAAAAGTAGTTAAATGAATTACACAGTAGTATCAGTAATAGAACCCATTGGGCACAGACGTCATTTCAACATCTAGTTTTGATTTACATTTGGTTAAGTTGTCAACTAATGTGATTTCAATGTGAAATCAACAAAACATTTCCCCATGTCATTGGATTTACAGTGCTTATAGAAGGTGTAAACCCCCTGAACTTCTTTCACATTTTGCTGCCTTAAATTTAAATATAAAAAGGGATTACATTAGATGTTTTCCCCTACAGATCTACACAACCTACTCCAGATATAGAAAATGTTCCCCTGTAGTGTATGAAGAATTATGACTTTACTAATGTTTTCAAGTGGAACCTGAGAGGATGTTTATTCAGTTTTAGAGGGATCCGTTTTAGAGGGACACCCCATAGAACAGAGGATGTCTGTTGGGTGGAGACAGGTGATTGGTCAGTATGGGAAACCACCCATATCTTGGTAAAGATTATAAGTACTGGGTTGGGACAAAGAAGGGCAGAACAGACATTTTATTTTGGGACACTGTTCTCCAGATGCTGCAGACGTCTGTAAACTTATGCTGAAAGCTTGTGATATAAATAAAACTTATAATCAAAGTACAGTATAAGCAGACTCATTTGTTTCACAGCATAATTAGCAACATTACTCGACACTACACCCCAAAAAAACCTAATAAATAACTGGAATATCATAATTGGATAAGTCTCCAGTGCGCTGAGTAAATATTTGGTGGAAGCACCTTAGGCAACCATTACAACTGTGAATCATTTTAATTAAGATTCTACCAACTTCACACAACTCTTAGAGCAACATATATCCATCATATTTGTCACAATTGCACAGGCTCAGTAAATTAGGTTGGGGATCATTGATGGACAGTGATATGTAAACCTTTTTGGATTTTTAAAGCAGGTTTTAAGTCAGGACTGAGACTAGTTTTTTATATAGGACCCTGATCCTCCACTGTTGTCTGCAAGTTTTCCTGAGGCCTTAGGGCATTCAAATACCTCACAAATAAAAAATAATGGTCATTTAAACACAACATTTACTTATTTTGTTATAAAGTTATTCAAGTAACTTAAGTAAATTTAAGAGTGTGGAATAATACGCTTGAGGTATGGGCAATAACAGTGGTGTGCTTTCAGTAAGTACATTAATGGAGTTTTTTCAAGGATATAAGAGCTAAAGCTAACCATTCAATAGAAAGTCCACAAACAATAGATGATTTATGGAAAATAGAGTTGTCTTACCTTGTGACAGTTGCAGTCAAAATGTAATGTTGTGTAAATATTTGTATTCTCTGACTGTGGCTCGAGGATGCTGTTTCAAAAGTAAATGAGAAAGAAGGACTCCAATACCTGAAACCCCAAGTCAAAAACAACAAGAAGTTCTCAGTTCTCTTTCCTTGTATGTATGAGCCACAGTCACATGCCATTCTGAACATTGTAAAACAACACTGCCATGTCCTATCAACAGAAACTAATTTGGGTAACACCCTTTTTTGGTAACACCTTTATCTTAGCTCACTTTAGGACCACATTAGGATTTCTGCTATTACAGAACAAGAGCTCCTAAATGCATTGCCCTATCTTCTCTGCAGTTTGGATTTGAGACATTAAGGAGCATCATAATAACTTGCTAAAATCCTCAAAAGGTGCATCCTAACTTTAGGACAGCTCAGAGGCTATCTTAACAGATCAACCCAGCAACTGACTGTTGTAAAAAAAATCCATGCCTACTGTAGAATGTTTCTAGTAATCTGTACTGAGTTACAGTGCCTTTCAAAAGTATTCATCCTCCTTGGCGATTTTCCTATTTTGTTGCATTACAACCTGTAATTTAAATTGATTTTTATTTGGGTTTCATGTAATGGACATACACAAAATAGTCCAAATTGGGGAAGTGGAATGAAAAAAATTACTTTTTTCAAAAAATTCAAATAAATAAATAACGTAAAAGTGGTGCGTCCATAAGGATTCAATCCCTTTGCTATGAAGGCCCTAAATAAGATCTGGTGCAACCAATTACATTCAGAAGTCACATAATTAGTTAAATAAAGTCCACCAGTGTGCTATTGTGGTGTCGAGAAAACGTTGCTAATTATGCTGTGAAAACAAGGAAATCCACTGACGCTGTACTTTGATTATAAAGGTTTATTATATCAGAGTATTTCAGCTTCAATTTACAGATATCTGCAGAATATCTGGAGAATAACCGCCCAATCTCAAATATGATTATTCTGTCCTCCTTTGTTTTAACCGTGGTATTTATATCCTATGCCCTATGTAACATAATATGGGTGTTTTCCCATACAGACCAATCCCATGACTCCACACAACAGACTTCCTCTGTTTTATGGGGTGCCCCTATAAAACTGCTCCCCAGATGCTTCCCTAAGCTGAATCAACATCCTCCAAGATACCATTTGCAAACGTTAGCAAAGTCATAAATTCCTTAGACACCACATATTCCCCCCTTCAAGACAAATTAAGTCTCGAAAACTAAAAGAATAGGATTATGACAAATAAAAATGTTTCTCTTATTGAGTATCTTTTAACAATAAACCAAAAACACATTTTTCTATGGAGTGTAAATACATTTCTATGAAATATGAACAAATCTTTATGGAGTGTGAGAGCGAAAAACCTGTCTGGCAACTTTCTTTCCAAAAATCCCTCCATCAATCAAGACAGTAAAATTCTCTCACGGCCCCTCTGCCCCAGGCAACCACTTAAGTACTCCAGATCAATTCATAAATCTTTATCAATGCATTTTAAACTATGATGCAATTAAATACACATGAAAGCCTCAGCAAACAAAATACAATCAAAAATGTCCACATTCAGGCTGGTCAACCCTCGGACTCCTG